TTTCGAATCTAAAATGTAAGAATATATAAGTTACCTGATTTTTTAACTGAAAACAAACAACAGTTGATGTATTTTGTAATATATTTTTAAAAATAATTAAAAATTAGTTTTATAGTTTTAACGATAATTAATTCATCTCGCCTGCAAAAACATCTCTTTCGCATTTATCCTATGATAAGCAATCGCATGTTACCATGTAATACGAAATATAATAAATATATTTTTTACAAATATCTCGAAAATTAAACTCAATAATTTTATGTTATATATGTAGTATAAATATGATATTATATGTATTTTTTAAATCTTATCCTTTATATGTTTAAATCATAAAAATTAAAATTATGAGAAATAAGTTAATTGAATACTAATTATATACTTATATTTACTTTTGTGCATGTATGTATATAGAAAGTATTATTAAATTGATAGTACAATTTAAAAGAAAATGAGTTATTTACATAAAAAAATAGATCGGTAGTAATATTTAGTAAAATAATATTTTTTGTACGGAATTTTATTTTTTAATAAATCAATGTTAAAGATTTGCCAACTGCAGATATAATTAACTGTATTTAATGTATTTATATTTTAAAATAATTTTTGTTGCATTTATTATATTTATGAACTTCATTATATTCATAATATTACAACTTATAGCTTATTATTATTTTTGATTAAAATTTTCTCTATTCTGTCAATTAATTGAAAAATTAATCATTTTATATAATCCATGTTTCATAAATGTTTGACTCTTTGAATTATTCATTTATTAATGATTTGGATAACAATTTTTAATAATAATTAACAGTTATAAATTGTTAGCATATATGAAAAATCGAATCAATATATTAATATATATATATATATATATATATTTTAATTTATTTATTTGAAATTCAAATTAAAATATAAATAAATTAATAAATCATAACTGATTAATATGATCTTATTATATTGCTTCCATTGACAATATTTGCTTCTATTACATATTGTCATATCGATAAAACGATAAGGAATTGAAAATTTTACTCAAAATTAATAATAATATATTAATAATAATAAATGTATGTAATATATTGATAAATTTATATAATATATATATGCAACAAAAATTAATCTAAACTAATTTAAACAATATAACTAATTGTAACTATAGTCAATATATTGTTCAATATTGATTTATTCTAAAATAGAGTTTCGTATAAAAAAATATTACATTTTCGATTTCTTTTTTCATCTATAGAAATTCATTTTTTTTTGGATTGTACCAACATTTGGTAACATTTTCTATATAATGAATACATGTATATAATTTCTTTAATCAAATAATCAAGAGTTCGTAAGACTTGATTAAACATATATATAATATTTCAATATTATTCGGACCTTAATTTTAAAATAATTCTATTTTTTTCTATTTTACAATAATAGATTTCATTTAATAAAACTATACACCTTTTTTTTAGATAGTTAATTATTTATTATATAAATATTCATATTTATGGAAAGAATATTTTTATATTATTTAATAAATATATTTTATTTTTTATTGTTTTTATCCAATTATTGTCCAATTGTATTATTTTTTAATTAATTTATTATTATTTAGTCATAATAATAATAAATTAGAAATTTATATCATAGAAAGTCATGTCAGAAAATTATATTTAAAGAAAAAAAAATGGCCGATCAAATGCAATTTAATTCTAAAGAAATGAAAAAAATTTAAAAGAAAAAGGATTTCCAAATAAAATAATCAAAATGATAAATAAAAGTAAGTTTGTCGTTCATTCTTATTTGAAAAGTAAAAAAAATTATGGTAAATTATAAAATAAAAATAAAACTAAAGAGATTCTATCGTTCAAAAATCAATTCTTCAAATAACATGAAATTCGAGTTTTAGTATAAACAAAATATATTAAATAAGTTAATATTTTAATTTTTATAGTTAATTTAAAAAAAATATTTATTATTGAAAGAAAAATATTGAAGAAAATATCACATTTGAACACTAAAATTGAATGATTAAACATCAATTTTAATAAAACTTTGTAAACTTGAAGAATACACAAAAATAATAGAAAGAGAAGAAATGATATAAAAGGAACATTTTTTTTCACATAAGATATAATAAAAATTAAGATTATTATTCTATCTCTAATTGATAACATTAAAAAAAACAATTATCTAGATATTAGTACATGTATATTAATTTTCTTCTATTTACGTATTGTTTTTTTTATTTTTGCCTTTTTCATAAATTGATTATATTAAAAAAGACTTTATGAAAGAAACTTAATAAAAGAAAATAACATTAATATTATTTCTTCGAATATGAAAATCATATTATTTATTAATTAATTATTTATTAATTATAACAATATTATTTATTTATTTCGTTGTTAATATCAATAATGTTAAATATTATGCTATTATTAACATAACACTCTTTTTAAAAAGTTTTTGAGCCAGTCCGGAATGACTTTTTTTTTATTTCTTTGCTATTTTTTTAGATGTATAATATATGCCAATTTTTTAACTTGAATAGCGATTAATCCGTAATAACACATTTTTGCTGAGATTTTTAAATAATTTGAAAAATAAAATTCTTCATCTATGATTTTTACAATCAATATTTTTCAATTTAAATGTAAGGTTAGCTATAAGGATTAAAAGATTTTGCAATCGATCTTATTGAACTTTTTTTTTGTATTATTTTGTTTATCGCTTTTTATATATAGCTATCTGTACTAACAATGATATCAATTTTTTAATGTCACATTTAAACCGAAAAAAAAAATATTTAAAATAAGAATTATGAATAGAATAAGAATTATTTAATATAAAATAGAATCATAGTAAGATTTTGAAAGAAATGTCTTTTTTATAATAATTTGTTGTGTTTTTTTCATAAATTTGGCAAGCAAACTGAAAAATTAGCTAGCAATTAGTATAATATTAAATATTATAATATAATATTAGTATAATATTAGTATAATATTAAATTAGTATAATATTAAAAAGATATATATATATATATATATATATCATATTATTCATATAGATATTATTATTCTTGAAAAATACTTATTCACATTTAGTAAAATTGCCATGTTTGATAAAGATTTATAAAACTGAATATAAATATATATGCATGAATGTTTTTACAAAATAGAGAGATGATCGTCTTTGATAGATTTTCTTTCTTCAAAAAATTTAAATATTCCTTTCATGCTACATATTTCCTCATATTTTTTTTTAATTGCAGTGGCTCAAAATCAACCAACAAAAATGGATTCCCTAAGCTAACTTAGAAATAATTAAAGATAGAAAAAAATCTTTTTAATAAAAATTAAATATTTTTTAACGTATCTAAGAAAATGTAAAAATTAAATAAAAAATAAAAAAAAAGAAAATTGTATCGGCAATGTTTATTTAAAGAAAAAATATAACATTCTTTTATATAATACATTATATTATTTATTATGAAAAATAAGAATATAAATATATTTTTTATAAGAAATGTATTTTTAAATATATATTTTTTATAAGAAATGTATTTTTAAATATATAATTCTAAGAAAAAAGATTAAATATATAAAAATAATATCTAAAAACAAAATGAACATAATAAAATGAAAATATATAAAATACTATAGCTTCAAATTAATAAAAATATTATGAATTTGTAAAAATAATAAAACTTATTAGTTATAATATATTCAAATGGTGATCGATGATCAAATCTATTATTATCAAATTATTTGTCAGTCACTTATATTGTTGATTAGCTACGTCATTATCAATAAAAAAATAAAATATTTGCTAATGCTAATTTGTAAAAATAATAAAACTTATTAGTTATAATATATTTAAATGGTAATTGATGATCAAATCTATTATTATCAAATTATTTGTCAGTCACTTATATTGTTGATCGTTAACTACGTCATTATTAGTAAAAAAAATAAAATATTTGCTAATGCAATTAATGTTAAGAGAAAATTATATACATATATTATTTTTTATAATAAATAATATAATCTATAATGTTATATACACAACCATTACAATTTTTCAAATAAATATGACCAACTTAATTTTTTCTAAAAAAATATTAAAAATTTTTTATTAACTTTTATATTTTCTTTCACATATTAGAAAGCATTTAATTTTTGTATTTTCAATTATTTCTGAATTATTTTTTAAAAAATTTAACTTTAAAAATTGGTTTTATCACTTAAATTTGGATTATTGTATCTAAAATATTGTATCTATATAAAATATATAAATATATAAATATATAAACATATATACATAATATATATATATCAATTATAATATCAATTTATAATATATATATATATATATTATAGATTGTACATGTAATGAACAAATTATATTTATTCATAATTAAATTATATATATCTTAATTATATATACTTCAATATTAAAAATAATATTTGATAAAATAAAAAAATTAAAAATATTAAATTTTTTTTTCATTAATAAAACAATATTTGATTAATTTATAAATAAGAATTAATTTTGAATATGTAAATATTAAAATAAATTATTATTTTTGTTCATTAGTATCGATATTTACTTTATTTTTTACTTTTTATATAGTAATTAATTTTATATAGTAATTATATAGTAATATAATTTTATATAGTATATATATATATATAATTTTATATATATATAGTAATATATAGTAATATTATGTTTGAATTATTAAGATGTCCTATAAGTTTCCTTCACCACACTAGAAATAATTTTAACTGGCTATTTTTATATAAACATACAGGCTTATTTATTAGCCCTTTATGGCATCAGTTTCAGTCGTTCCAGAGTTCTTTCAAAATATGTTTTAGTGACACAATTTTTTTTAAAACTTTTTTCTATATCGTTCAATATGGATAGGCAAAGGAAGCATTTGCGGCATGTTATGCTTTATTGCTTTAAAAAAACTAATAGTGCAAATGATATTGCAGACGAGATTTGTACTGTTTATTAGTACTATAACTATTATGACCATTCCCAATTGGTTTAAGAGATTTAGAACTAGCAATTTTGACTTGAAAGATGAAGGCCACAGCAGCCGCCCAGCAGACGGATATGGACTTATCAAGATCATGATTACTGAAACTCTGCGATATAGTATCTACGCAAGATAGTAGATACCACTAACATTTCCAGGATAACATAGGTATATAATCATCTGATCAAGGTATATATATCAATTGATATGAAGTGTGGATTCCATAGCTATTATCGGAGACCGGTCTTATGAACTATGTTTCTACGTGCGCTTTGCTTTTTCAGCGACATGAAAGAGATCCTTTTTTAAAGAGACTTATCATTGGAGACGAGACTTAGATTTTGTATCAAGTGCATCGCACTTGATCTAAGAAGAATAGACTTTCAAAGAAGATGGAACTTTACTCGAAGAAAATTCTTTTGTCCATTTGGTAAGATTAGAAAGATATAATCTACTATGAGCTCCTTTCTTAAGATAAAATCATTAATTCTATAAATTATTGCAATCAACTTGATAAATTAAAAGTTATTATAGGCAAAAAACGACCAGAATTGGTAAACCGACATCATTTTTCATCATGATAATGCAAAATCGCATATTGCATTGACTGTAAGAGCTGTTACAGTTTGATTGGTTTTACCGCATCCTTCATAGTACCCAGATCTTAGTTTATCCGATTATTACTTGTTCCTATCATTAAAAAAATTCTCTTTATGATAAACAATTCCAATCCGTAATCGAAATAAAAACTCACCTCGAGAAATATTTTACAAGTAAGCTCCAATAATTTTGAAAAGAAGAAATAATGAGGTTTCCTAAAAGATGGAAGAAGGTGAGCAGAGCAGAACATGTATAAATTAATCTTAAATAACAAATATAAAATATAACATTGTGTATTCATTTCATATCAAAAAAAAAGATACTTATGAGACATTTTAATATATTATAGAATTATTATACAAATTTATCAATAAAAATTAATTTTATAAATTTTTTTTATTTATTTATAAAGAATCATTATTGTACATATAATAAATTGAAGATAATTATTTATATTCAATAAATAAATTTTTTCAATTCAATTTTTTAATTTTAAAAACAAAATCAATCTACAAAATTAAATTAAATATAACCGTGTTAAATATAAACTTATTTAAAAATTAAAATAGAAAATAGAAAATGAAATTATTATATATTTATTTTTTTATTAATAAAAATTTCATTTATAAATTGATGCAATAAACTTCACTAATAAACTTCATTTTAAATTCTATAGTTTATCTTTCAATATATTATATAAATCTTTAATTGTTAAAAGTTTTTTTTATTTCTAAAAGCCAAGATATATATTATTTGAAAATTGTTTGCAAATTTTTTTATATTTTAATATTTTATATAATTTATTTTAATTACAAAACAGATTTAAATAAATAAAAAATTATTTAAAGATTTTAATAAGTATTTATAAATATAGATATAAAGATAATCTTATTTTTTTTTTATATATCATATACATGAACAATATATTTAAATTCATCTCATATAATGAATGTAATGTGATATATAATTATTTGAATGAAATCAATTAATAAATTAATAAATCATATTAATGTAAAATTTTTCTTAAGATTATTCAATAATGAAATATTTATTATTAATGTAATATTATTAAAATATTATAATTAATAATATTTCTTAAACAATTTCGTATCTTTTTCTTTATTTTTTTTTTTTATAATCGAAATTTTAAATTATGATTAATATGATTAATATGATTTAATAATAGACAATTTTTATTACTATATAATATGAATTAATATTATTTATTTTAAAACATTTTATTCTTATAAATCTAATATTATTTTTTTTAATAAGATAAAATTGATTTAATGTAATGAAATAATTATTAGTGAAAAGACTTTTGTATTTCTGATTATAATTAAATAAATAAATATTTTGATATTTTGATTTGGTTCAATTTGAAAGATAATCACACTAAGAACTTATATTATTTTTTTAATTTGACAATTTTTTTTTTAACATATTCTAATAATAAAAAATATATTAAAATGAATCATAACTTGTTTTCAATTTTTGCAATTTTTTTGATTTAATTATAAAATATGTTCTTGTATTTTTACAATAATTATTATAAATAAGTTTTTATATATTTGTTAATGATATATATTGTAAATATACTTACGTTAAATAAAACAAGTATACAAATAAGAATATTTATTTAGAATTAATTTTGTTTTAAATGTAAATATACTTACGTTAAATAAAATAAGTATACAAATAAGAATATTTATTTATCATTAATTTTATTTCAAACATAAAAAAAGGTAGGAAAAAAAATAATATTTAATATATCGTTATGTTTAGGTATAATTACTTAAAATAATAATTTTATAGTTTGTCTACTAATTGAAAAAAACAGACTATAACATTAGTAAAAATGTTCTTTATTTTTTCTGATTTATGTTTATTCGTTTATGTTTGCTATTTTTTTTTATATAAAATGTTATTTTAGCAAAATTAAAATACAAGATATTTCGTACTTTTTTTTTCGAATAAACTATAAATAAAAATAAAAGAATATATTATATTAAGTTTATTATAAAAGTCTTATTATTTTATTACAAAGTTATACTTCACTTATCATATTATATTTCAGTTATATATATATCAAATATTAAATGCAAATTGAATATATAGAATAGCAAATTCTACATTAAAAAATGTCGTTTTGAAATGAAAATTTAATCATTTAAATGATTCTAAATTAAGAAATATCATTTTAAATATTAAGTACAAATAAAGTAAAAACAATTAACCTTTTATAGTTGATATGTTCAACTCTTTAATGTTGAATATATTATTACGTACAAATTCATGCTGCATTTAATATTATAACTTTGTAACTTTGTAACAAAACATTTATAGACAAATTTTATACAACATTTTTTTTTATTTTTATTTATAATTTGATCGAAAAAGTACAAAACATCCTATAAAATTTAAAGGAGCATTAACCAATTTATATAAATATTTATATTATTTCGAGTAATTAAAATTCGTATATTTTTTTGAAAAATATTTTCCATGTATCTTTAATATATAAAACATTAGTAAAATATTATTTGTAAATATCAATGTAAATGTAATGTAAAAAATAATTATACCAGAAAATTTTCAGATATATTATCTGATAAGAAATAGAATTAATTTTGGTATTTCGTATTGCATTATAAGTATAATTATGATTCAATGTTGTTACAAAAATATTTGTATCGCTTGATACATATATATTCTATTGTACTAAAATAAAGATGATGCAGATATGTAAAAAATATTTCTAAAGATAGGAAAATCTTTAAAAATGTAAAAGTTTTGAAAAACAATATCATTACATTAATATCATATCAAATATATTAAATAATATATGAATTTACTATATCATACAAATATAATTTAATTACTGTATTTTTGATAATAACTGACGTCTATAAATGTTATTGATTATTATTTATACTTCAATACATACAATATAAAATAATAACAAATAACTTAAAATTAAAAAAAAATACTCATAATAACAATCAGCATTATATATACTGATATATAAAAAAAAAAAAACAAGAAAATATATAGAACAATATTATAAAATAACATAAATTTGTTATTATAAACAGGAAACTCATTTATAGTATAAAGTATTTTAGAAATAATATATATAAATTACTCTAAGTATTTCATAAAATATGGTATATATGAATTTCAATTTTTTAGTCAATTATAATTTGTTGGATAAATTTGTTTTTTAAGCTTTTCAATCAATTAAAAAAAATAATCAAAATTATTATATATTTAATGAAAGATTTATTATTTTTTCCTATAAACCATGTTTTATAAAATATACGTTAATATTGTTTTCTTTCCTTTTTTATTGAAAAATAAAATTTTATTTTGCGATATTAAAAAAATTTCAAAATTAAGTAAAACAAAAAGATATCGAAACATGATTTTTCAGTGATACATATTTTATATATATAGGAAAATTATTATAAAACTTTTAATTAGAATAAAATGCTATTTTATAAAAAAATTCATTTTAATGAAAAGAATTTTTTTATCTGAGAAAATTGTACTAATTACATGAATATTTTATTTTTTTATGTTTACTGTAACAATAAACTAAAATTTTTTGAGAGTTAATATCTGTATAAATGATTTTTTATTTTAGACATAAATAAAGTTAAATAGGCCAATCATAATTTTTATAGAACAGAATATATTAACTTATACGAATATTGATTTCTTACAACAGTTTCTACTGTTAAATAATATTTTGTATGCACAAATCTACATAATAACTTACCGGCATTTTACCCAACAGGAAAATTTTTTTATACATCTATCAATTAAGTGCAAAAAATATTATGATTTTTTTGTTGTAACAATTCGCTGTATTAATTGTCATTACTAATTAAACTAAACATTAATTATATGTATATAACACAATAAGACTAAATATACATATATATTGAGCTTTTTATCGAAGCTCATTATTATAAAGTATGTCGCACAAATAAAATTTTTTTTAAATATAAAAAACTAACACTTAATAATTTCATCAGAAATATATTATGATAACTAGATTCTTTATAGGAGACATAAAAATGTACGAGTAATTTTGTTAATGCACAATTCTTTTAGTAGAACGTTATAATATTTTTTTCATTTAATAACTACTACATATAATTTTTCTTTGTATCATGAAAATTAATTTTAAATAATTTACATGTCGGGGAACGATCTTTTTGTTTAACCAGTTATCAAGTTTTACTTTTCAATTTAATTGTTTAAAAATGAAGGAAATAAAATTTTAAAATAAATCAGAATCTTCAACTCTAAAGAATGTTCAATAAAACTATAAATAATTTACATTTCCATCTTCTTTTACAAATATTCATATATACATATACACACATACATATCCATACACACATATTCTCACATACAATTATATATGCAGCACGTGTATATAACATGTATAAAAATCATACATGTGCACATATACACACATGATTTTTATCATATGTACATACATTTATATGTACATATGTATACAGTTGAAGCAAAATTCGCTGCACAATTTTTTGAATAGAGCAAATATATTAATCTATTTACAATGTACAGCACTAATGTGCTGATTGAATTATATCTGATCACAAATTTGTACAAATTTTGTTTGTACATATCGTATTGGTCACCTATCCTATAATATATATCTTTAATTTTCTTTTTTCACTCTCTTAACAGTATATGAGACGCTTCAGAATTTTATAGCAAAATAATTTTTGCGATTCAATATTAGAAAGTGCTCTTAGATGATAATACTACATTTACAATTTCAATTTTTTTTACTAAGACTAAGGCGTGTAGAATTGCATAGAAATGATAATCTGTTCTAACTGGTCTTTGCATAAAACGTGGCAATTATTTCTATTTTGATGACATTACCAAATTTTTATGATATTTCATGCGTCTCATATTTCTGTAAATTTGAATATATGTTGGATATAATTTATTATATCCAAATCAGTTAGAGTCCACATGAGATTATCGGCATATGAGCTCGATTGTGCGAACTTTTAATCTAATAAGCAGATTGTACTACAGCTTAAAATAACTTTCATTTTTTCACGTTGATACGACTGTATTTGTCGTTGTTGATTGAGCCACTGTAGTCATTGTTATTAGAGTTAATGTATTACCAAGAGTATTTTGTTCCGTTACAGCTGTGGTTATATTCTTTTCAATACATGCTTTCTTTGATTCCTTATGTTCCTCAAATGAACTCGACTTTCTTTTATGATTTGAACTCGATGAATGAGAACGACTCGATGCTGTATCATCTTTCGAAGAACGATTACTAGATGATTTTTTCTGTCCATCTCTTGCATGACTATGATGTCTGTCTCTTCTTTTTTCTAGTTTCCTGTCACTATCTTTACTATCTGTGCGATCGGTAGCTTTACTAGAAATGTTACAATCTTTAGATAGTGAAATGATTTTCGATGAATCTTCTTTATTAATTTCTCCAGTTTTATTTTCATATTTATTACTCTGAGGATTACTTTGATGATGATGCCTCTTATGTACTTTATCACGTCTATCTCGATTTCTTCTGTCTTTATGTCGTTGACTTCTAGAACTTTTATCATCTCTATACTTTCTTTTAGATTCTGAATGCGTTGTATGCACATCAGATGACAATTTAAATGAATTTTCATCGCTGCTAATGTTCCTACTACTATGTCTTTCAGTTTCTGCTAACAAGGATGTAGAGGTTATTGAAGAAGAAGAGGAAGAATTGGCAATTTTCGATATTGGAAGTGAACTTTCTTCACAAGTATTACTTGTTAACATAGAAACTTTTTCATTTTTTGATATTTCTTTAGCTTCATCTTCAGCCATTTCAATTAGAGCTTTTACTGCATTTTCAGTTGCACATTCCATTTTTGATGTAAATGCCAATGTTGTTTCTATTTCCAATAATTGACAATATCGTTCTAATTTTGTTTTATCATCTTTATATTTTTGTTCAGCAATTTCAAAACTTTCTTTATGAATTTTTTCTAATATTTCTTTAGAAGCTTCTGCAACGCCAGTTCGTAAAGATTGACAAACTTCCTCTACGTCGGTCTTTGACTTATATATTGCAATTTCCAAAGCTTTGTCAACAACTTCCGTTGCATAAGTTTTCGCTATTAACTGACGTTGTGCTAATATATTTTGTTCAAGACTAACAGTATTACAATCAAAATTTTCATGTTTTAAACAAATCTCTGATGAACATAATCGTTTTTTATCTTCTTTTGATGAAGATCCCGCGATGTTTAATTTATTTGTTAATTTAGATTCTGTAATAGTTGAAATGCTTTCTTTACTTAATGTATTATTACTACTAGATCGATTGTGATGACTTCGATTATGATCTAATTTATGACTATAATCATACTTTTTTTTCTCTCTAGAATGACTGCTATTACTACTGGTACTACTACTACTACTACTGCTACTACTACTACTATGAGAATGATGAGTAGATTTTTCATTGGATCGATGTCGGTCTTCGTGTCTTCTTTCAGATTTCTTGTCATCTCTTTTTTCATTGTTTTGCTTTTGTTCTATTGTACTATTTTTTGTAGATTTGTTATTAAAAAGATTCGAACAATTATCGTTATTACCTATAGAATTTTTCCTTGTACTTGAAATGGAAGAATGTCTTGTATGATCTCTATTTTTACGATCTTCTTTACGCTTACCATGATGATCTGATTTCTTCAAATTCCCTTGATATTCAGCAGCTCTTTCTTTTGCTTTTTTTTCTTCGAGTGAATCAATAGAATGTTTTTGTTCCACACGTTGGCGATTTGTATTTTCTTTTTGTTCATCTCCTATATTCACAGTTTCCAATGGTTTCTTTTCTTTTATACGATGACACTGTTCATTTCCAACACGTCCATGTCTAATGTTTGAACTGTGTTGTGATTCTTGATAATACTGTTTTAATCGAACGTGCCATGCTATACTTGAAACTGCGGAAACCGTTCTAAATTGATGAATTATATTACGCGGTAAAAAGTAAATATCATTATCATATAAATTTATTCTAGCATAACGAATACCCTGTCTACGTAATTGATTTAATTTGGCGTCTTCAACCCACTGTACACATTGCGATATTGGTGGTTCATGAAGATCTAATTGCAATTTTTCAACTAATTCAGGAAAATCGCCAGCATAAAAAGCTACAACATCTTTTGTAATTCTATTATATTCTGATGGTTGTCCACCATGAACAGCTTTTAATACACCAACTGCTGCTGTAGTCATCCTATCTAATCCATGACCAACATGATCAGCATGTGCTTTAGTACGATCTTCAAACATATATTCACGAGCTTCACTAAGACGTGGCAAATACTGCAGATTTCGTAATTCATTAATGCCCGTTCTGCGCCGTTTATAAGGACTCTTATTTATATCTGCTGTTGGAACTAATTGTTCACCTGGTCTGATCCATAAAATTGGACCATCGTTTGATTCTTGGGGAGTATCCATCTTTACAACAGATAATGGACCCCAAGGCATGGTCTAAAATAAATAAATAAAAATTTATAAAATTATATATGTAAATAAATTCATATTAAATATAACATAAGATTCATATATAATATAATATAAATATATAAGATATCCAATATTAATACTAATGAAAGACAGAAGAGAAAAAATAGATTTTTTACATAGTTTTTGAAGAAATTTTTAAACTTATTAAATTATAATTTCTATATATTATTGGTACCAATAAATATATCAATAATGAAAAATATATACTGCTATTTTTAATTTATTAGCTTCATTAAGTTAAATTTCATAACATAACAATAGAATAAAAGGAAATATTTATTTATTTTAGAATTATTTTATTAAAATTTATTAAATATAAATATTTATTACATTTTTTTTCTTTTAGCCACTATAAAAATATGTTCTCTTTTTGTATTTTTTTTATAACAAAATAGTCTTTTATTCCTTTTATCATCTAATTTTTTCTCTCAATATCTTGATTGATCTCTATTATAATTAATTTTTAATACATAGATTTTAAAGTAAATTATTATAGATAAATTATATTTTAAATTTCTTAAATGCAGATATATATTTAATTATTTTTTATGTGATATTATTATATTTAAATAATATTATTTTTTTCAATATTTATTTTTTGTGATAATATGTTAATATTTCATTTTACTGATATATAAATATGTTTATATATATATATATATATATATATATAAACATATTTATAATATATATATATATAATATATATAAATATATAAATATGTTTAGAATTCTTTGAATGGTAGAGTTCAATTTGAATAAAAAAAAATAGTTTAAGTATTTTTTTCATATTCATAATTTAGTTTTAATCTTATTTCATTATAAATTTTAATAAATGAATAAGAGCTTCTGAAATAAAATAAATAAATAAAAAATAGAGAACATAGAATATAAATATAAATTTTTAAATATAAATATAAATAGAATATAAATTTTATATTTATCTATTCAAAATATTTATAAAATTTTTGATATAAAAATAATAATTAATGATCGAAAGTTACATATTAAACAAAACAATAGATAAATCATTTTTGTATATGATTAATGAGTACTTTAAACAGTAATATTTATGATTTTTTTTTTATCATATAAAATTATCATCTTTTTATTCTTATAAATTCACTAATTTTATAAGATTGAAACAAACTTTCACTTTTTATCTTAATCATAAATTAGAATGCCATAAAAGAATATGTCACATTATCAAAATAATTATATATCAAAAGTATATTAGTTTTAATTATATTCATAATTTCTCTCTTTTTTAAATAATTTTATAATTATAACAAAATTATCATATAAATATCATAATATTAATATATATGATATGATATACAAAACTTAAAACTGTTATATTAATTTTAATTTTGAAATAGTTATGAAGAATTTTTAATTCTGAATAACTTGTTATAAAGAATTAAAATTTTTAACTATATTAAATTAAAATATTCTTGCTAATATCAGTTCTCATAATTATTATATTATCTTTTAGATTCTGTATTGATTCTAAAACAATTATAGAATTCATTTTCATATCACTTTTATTAAACATTACAATAAAATCAATTATTACAAATAAAACAATTGTAAAAAACAAAGGAAATGTTTATATATATAATTATTTTATAATATGAATGATATATTTACTGTATATTTAATATAGTTAAAAATAATAGACAAAAAAAGCTAAAAAAATAAAAATTCTAATTTATTGTTTTAAATATTTATTAATTATATTTTGTTATAATTGATATACAAAATAAAAGTTATAATTTCTTAAATGTAAGAATTTGGGATAGATAATATATCACTTATGATATATGATTTCACTGACAAATAATAAGAAAACAAGATAAATTTTAATAGTAGAAGTATGTGTATGCTTATTTATGGTGGAATTATTAAAATATTTATATATAATTATATTTAACTACAACTACTAGTTTAGATATTTCATTTTTTTTAGTATTCCAAAAATATAAAGTATTAAAAAAATTTTTTAATTTAAATTTTTTTATACATTACTTAATTTCACTTTATATTAAATATTATTTTTTATTAATTGATCAATCGGTGATATTAATAACTTAAATATTTTGGATTATGTAATTTTTTTTCAATATTTTGGAATGTTTTTTTAAAAAAAGACTAAGACTTTTTATTGTTTTTGGTATATTTATTAACATTTAAAATATTTTTTTAAAACAAAAATAATAAAAATTATATGAATTATATTTTTTAATAAAAATAAAAAAAAAGCGTTTTACTAACATGCATGATTTATTTGATAATTCCAAATAAAAAAGTAAAATAGTATTTTAATTAGAATATAATTATCGAATGAATCAGAATAAATTAAAAAAAATGATAACACTGATTTTTTCAATTTTTTTCTATAATATATTAAAAAAAATATGAAAAAAATCAATTTTTTTAAAAATCATGATTAATGCGATCATTATATTCATACTAATTAAAACGTTATTTTTTTTTATATCCAAATTTTTGAATTATCAAAACCATCGGAATCATGCATACTATTGAAATATTTATTTTTTTTTAAATTTTATTAAAATGAACACATTTGATTTTTATTATTTTTATCTTACAAAAATAATTTGCTTTAAAAAATAATATTAGTATTATAAATATATATACCAAAATTAATATAAAAAAATCTTATGATTTCTTTGAAAAAAAAAAAATTCCTGAAAAAATAATATCTTCCTAATTTTTTTTATAAACTCTTATTTTTTTTATTATTTTAATCCTTGAATTTTAATTTTCGATCGATATCCTATAATATTAATTAGATTAAACATTTTCAAATACAAAAATAGATTACATAGATATTAATATGTATATTTTTAGGAAATCTATTTTAAAGGTTAAAACAAATATAAAAATTGATATAAAAATATTAATTGAAGCTTATTAAATTATAAACAATTGAAATTTGTGTTAAATAAAACAAAATACAACAGAAAATAGAACAAAATAACAGATAGTATTCTTTCTTCATTGTTCATTTAACTTCAATGGCTTATAATTTATTAAATAAGCTTTAATATTCATTTTTATAGCAATTTTTGTATTTGTTTTAACATAGAATTGATTTTCCAAAGAATATGTCTCTTGAAAAATATATAATATATATATATATATATATATATATTAATATATATTAATATATAAGATGAAAAATAAACATATGAAAAAAAATTCCATTATTTTTTGTCCATTATTTTTAATTACTTAAAAATAATATTTATATTAATTATTATTTTTCATATCATAAAATAATATAATATATTTACAAATATCCTATTTTTTATATAATTTTAATAAAAATTTTAATAATTTTAATAAAAAATATAAATAATATTTTAGTAAAAAATATTTTTATATATAATAATCTATAATTACAATATATTAAGATTTCATGTAATATAAAATTTAATGAAATCAATACAAAAATTGATTTTATATATATTTTGAGACAAAGAAAATAATGATTAGAAATAAATGAAAATAATAATAATAACAACACAACAACAACAACAACAACAATAATAATAAAAATAAAAATAAAAATATTTGAAATTTTAGTTCTTCATAACAATTATTTAGAATTAAATTTTTTATAATTGTTTTAATCAGAATTCTTATATTATAGATTAACAAACAACTATTTTTAATTTTTTCTAGTCTTGATCATACAATCTATAAATATTTATAATTTTTTTCTTAAATTTATAATTAAAAACATATTTTCTAAAAACCATTATTAATAAGCAATCAGTCAAAAGAAAATATTCTATTTGTTTCTCTTATTTTTTTATAAATAATCATATTTTTATTTGTTTAATTATTTACTAAACATTCTATTTAAATTTATATAAATTTATATTATATTATATAAATTTTATTTATATTAAAATATATAATACTTTCTTTAATGAAAATCAATACTTACTAATTTTAAAAATGGATTTTCTTCTAATTTTTGTAGAAGATCTGGGAAATATCCACCAACTTCTTCATGAACAGTTCCTACAAGGCTTATTTGATGGAGAGGACCATATCTAACAGTACCATTACTATAAGCTTTACACACTTGTTCTTTGTATTGTACCATAGTTGTAGTTTCTATATCACTGTTTCTTCCTAATACACCATTTTTAACAGTTAATGTTGGATAATTATCTGCCATATAATCTAAGAGATCAGGAAGATACGCTGCAGCATTATGTACTATTCCCATGACGTGATACGCATTACCATTTTCATCTTCTCCAAAAACTACCTATATTATAAAAATCTTTTTAATTTTCTTTTTTACATAATTGTATATTTTATATATTATTTATATAATCATATTATTTTTTTATATAACTTTCATTTAAAAATCAGATATAATGAACTATATATAACAATATATTAAAATAAATAGACTCAAGATAATTACCACATGTATAAAATAATATAAAAACTATTTACTAAAATTATTTACAAATTATTTTAATCATTTTATATTCAAAATGATAATTTTTAATATAGCTTTATAATTTACATTTATATTTACATACTTTGAAATATTCCTGAGCTAATTCTTCTATTTGTTCATTAGATAATGTATCAATTTCATCTTGATACATATGAACAACTGTTGCACCACCATTAGGATAAGTTTCTATATGAATGAATTTCTTATATTTGAGGCCTTCTAATAATTCACTTTTAACTGGTATATTGTGAAGCATTTTATAATTTTTTGTTTGCAAATTTAATCTGAGATTTTCATTTGTAGATTTTGAAAATGAATGAGACATTGGTTTACTGCTTAATGGAAGTATGCTACGATCTCTTTTACATTGTACGCCAATGCTTGCTCGTTTTATTTTACTACGTTTATAACATCTTGAACAATAACGTCGTTCATTATGTTCTTTATTTCGTTTTTCTCTTGAAGATGAATATGATTTAGAATGGGAACTCGAAGAAATACGAATACAATTTATTGATTTATCATGAGGCAATACAGCCTCTTTACACCCAATTATTGTTGTAGATATGTTATCACTAATCCAATCTGACTTAATTATATTTAATTGTTCTTGAGAATTTACTAATTCTGTTTTTATTTCAATAGATTCTGATTTTACATCTTTGCGAATTATATCCATTTTGTTATCAATTTTTTCTTTCTCATTTGATTTTATTTGCGTAACAGGAACTTGTTCTTCAGTTTTTTCCAATTTTCCACAAAAAGAATAAGAAAGATTTTTACAAACTTTAGTTAAATTATTTGTGGTTTCTGCATTATATTTTGCTGTATCCATTACAATAGTTGAAATCATAATTGGTGATGTCATACTACTAGGCAGTGTTGTATTTGGACTGTTTGGACTATCAGAAACTCTTGGAGGATAATCTGGACTTCTTGGACTACTAATTACTTCACCATTACTTTGAGGGCTTTCTCCCAATTGAGGTGTATTACCATGTTCAAAATTTACACATCCCTCTAGCTTTGTTGACAATGTATGTAATCCTCCAGATATTGTTGTATCTTTATTACATGCTAAATCAATCTAATAAATAAAAAAATTAAAAGTAAAAATCTTATGAATTTTGATTAATTAATAATTTTAATAAATTATTATTTATCATTATTATAATTTAAATAAATATATATAATAAAATATACATACATGAATAGCATGTTGAACTGGTTCAATTAAAGTTTTCATTAATTCATTATTGCAATGATCTGAATTCCCTATAATGTACAAAATTTACTTTAAAATATAAAATTAATCTTTTAATTTATTTAATTATTTAATATATGTATGTATATATATATATATTATGTATATGCAAATATATATTATATATCATATTTTAATAATAATTTATAAGATATAAATGTCATATTAAATTAATATATTTTTATATGTTTTTAATATGTTGATGTTCATTAATGTTAGTAAATGTTATCAAATCAATTACAATTATATAAATTTTTATTTAAATTTGTATATTATAATAACCTACTAAAAATTATAACTATAAACAATAGTTTCACTGACATAAATATCAACATAAATTTTATATTATCTTTCATTCTTTTAAATAAAACTATTTGAATATTTATATAATACCAAATAAAGTGTAATAATATTACCGTCTGGTTGTTCAGAAATACAAGCAACATTATCCAGATCATTCCTTTGATTGGACATGTTGTGGGATTCCATAGATGGTGTACGTAATTCAGAATTGACGGCAATTTTAAAATTAATATGTTTTTCCACATCACCAGAAGAGCTCATGAAATTCACGTTTTTCCGTAATTCGTTTCTTTCGGTGTTTGTATTAAACGATGACGCTGTAGAGAAAATCGTGGGCGTCCTAATTGAATGTAAAGTGAAATTGTCCGAAAATTCTTTTGTCTCTTTAATAACACTGTTCCACGTTGTTCTTGATACTTTTACACTTGTTGTTTCCGTTTGTAATGATTCAAATATTTGCTGAATCGTATTATTTACATCGCATCTTTCGTTTGACACGATACTTGTACCAGTTTCGGATGCCATCTTGATTCTGTAAGCGACGTCCTGAACATAACGATACTACGCAACATTTGATTGGACATTTCTTAGCCGCCTTTTGAATAGATTTTATTCTATTCGTCTGAAATTGGATAAAGAGTAGGGGTAAGACCAGTAAATATAGAGCTACCATAAACATTTTTATTCATTGGAATCTTCGATCCCCAATCTTATTTTCTCTCTAATTTTTTGATTATAAAGAATTATATATTACTTATAATATTTACATTGTCTTTTATATGATAATAAATATTTAAATATAAAAAATATATATATTATATTCAAACAATCACATTTATAATAATGAATATATAAGTTTCAATATTTTTTAATTTATAATTTTTATTATATCTAGATTTAAATTTATTTTATAATCGAAATTAATTATATTTTATATTAATTATTTTTTTAAATATTGTGTATATATATATATTATTTTATATTTTATAAAATAGTAAAAACAATTGAAAATTCATTGATTCCAAAAGTTAATAAAATAAAATAAAAAATTTATTACAATAAAATAAAATTGTTCAAAACTGTTTTATCAAAATTAAAATTAATTAAAATTGTCTTGAAAAAAAATAAAAATGATTTATTGAAAAAATTGTTTTAAAAATAATTTTTAAATTTGTTTTTTTAAAAGATTATGTATATTATATATATTTGTATAAATTTGTGAATGTCAATGTTTATTAAAATGATTAAAGCTATGACTTGTTTTAACTAATATATTTTTTGTAAATAAATAAAGATAGCATTTTTTTTTTCTTACAAGAATAATTATACAAAGTATCACATAAGTGATAGTACAATCAGGTAGGAATGATTATATATGTAAGAATAAATCAAAGAAAAAAAAAAATAAAATTTTTTTATTTGAAATACAAGTGATATATATGCTAATTCTTGATTGAATAAGCTATCTAATAAGAGATTATTCCATATGTGAAAATAAGCGAATAATGTAGAATAAAGTTTTATTTAAAAATTAATTTACAAAAAAATCAAATTTTTTCAAAATTCATTGATTATTAATTATTAATTATTTTTTGTCTGTATATATTTTAATTATTTAATATTTTTATTATTTAACCTCAATTATCTTAAAAACAAAGATTGAATCATAAAATTTTATTTTATATTTTTTATTTATTTTATCTGTAATAATCTTCTATCAATAGTTTATTCGTATCTGATTAAAAATAGCTTATAAATTCTGATTAAAAATTAGCTTATAAATTCACTTGTATTTGAAAAATATATATAAAATTTTCAAACTTGATTTAGTTAGAAAAAAAAATTCAAATGGAAAATTTTTTTTTTTTACATAGAATTATCTTCTATCTAATTGTATTATCAATTATATGATAATCTGTATAATATATAGGATATGAATATTTAGGATATTTGAAGACTCGATTTGAGAACTCAGAATAAAAGTAGTTAGTACTAGTATACAAAAATATCATAACATAATAAATTAAAACTTAATTATTAAATTTTAAACAATTTAAATTATAAGCAAATTTACATTGCAGATGACTGATGAAATTGAAATGATGAAATTGAATCAGAACGAAATAGTACAATGGAAATAAAGAAATATTTTGCTATATAATATAACTTATATCGCTATAATATAAACTTTAATTGTTTACAATTTAATAAATAATTTAATAATTTAATAAATTTAATTAATAAATAAATTTCAATTAATATTTTTATTTATTTTATGACTTTTAGAAATAATCTTGTGAAGATAATTCATGAACATATTAACATCCTATATAAGTATCAATATTTTATACTTTAAAATTTACAAATGATATTAAAATTTATTATAAATATTACAAATCTTAATTTAAATCATATTTTACATATATATTTAATATTTTTTTTTTGAAATTAAAATTTAAAACTAATAAGAGAAGTTTCAAGGTTGGTACTCATCGATTTTATCGATGCACATTAATAAATTTATATATACACAGTTGTAGTGTAATTATAGTCGTAAATAGCCAAACAATTATAAATAAAATGCATGTATTTGGAAAAATAATTAGATTTGAATATAATAACACAATATTTATTTAATAATATTTGAAACAAAGCAGTAACTATCAAAATTTTTAAACTTTTATCTCAAGAAATATTTTTTTTACAATATTCAAGAATTATTATGTCAAATATTAAAATTCTTAAAATAAAAATAATTTTCTATTTTTTTTATAGCTATTTATTTTATGAATAATATTATATAATTTATTTAAGTTAATTACAAACTTCATATTATTAACTAACAAATAACCGAAATAAAATAGAGAAGTAAAAATTTTCTGATTAATCCAATATTTATTTTATTAATACTGAAAAAAAAAATGATAAAAATTTAAAATAATAATTTTAATTATTACATTTCGCATAAATTTAAAAATACAACAAATTATAATTAAATAACTTAAAAAAATTATATATTTATTTTTTAATTGTTAATGAAAATTATTTGTAACTTAAACTATGTTCTTTTTCTTATCTATTCATTATTAATAAATTTGTACATTTATTGTACAACAAAAAATTATTTCAAAATTCAATTTCTGGACAAAAAGTTTGCGTTTGCGTTTTATCATTAAAAAAACTAAAAGTTTATATTTAAATATATTAAACTATTTATATTAAATATTATTTAATGTATCAAATCATAAATGTTATAAAGCATTTAAATATATTATGATAATTTTTATATTTATTGATTATATTTATTGATTACTTATGGTTATAATTATGGTTATGATTGTAATACACGTAGGCTTAATGTGTTAAATTTGATTAAAATCGATGAGTATCAGACTTGAAGCTTTCTTTAAGCAAGTTGGTTTGTCATTAATAATAAATAACTAAATAAGTTGATAATAATAATAAATTAATTAATATATTATTATAAGTATTATTTTTATATATTATCATTTTTTTGTTAATTGTTTATTTTTGAAAATAAACGTACGAAAGTTATGCGTTGTTTTGTAAGTTAGTGACCATTAATTGAATATAATCACATAAATAGTAATTAATGTTTAATTAATATTAAATATAATTAATTTACTTATTAATATATAATTGTTAATATAATTTTTAAGATAATAAATAAATTATTTATTGATATATTATTATAAATGAATGTTTAAAACATTAAATGTGGAAAATAACGAATGATATAGTATTAAATATTACTTAATAATGTACATAAAAAGTAAAAAATGTTAACTTTAAATACAAAAAAACATATATAAGATTGAGAAAATTATATATAAGAGAGATGCAAATAAAATTTAAATTAAATCAATTTAAAATAAAATTAATTTGATAATTTGTATATTTATTTAGAATATATTATTCATATTTGTTAATAAAAATAATAAAAAAACTCAAATTTACATAATATTTATTATGTAATCTCTTTAAATATTTAACGTTTTTTATTTTATTTTTAGTAAGCAATGTTTCTATCATACAATAAAAATGATTTGCATATATATAATTATATAATCGTAATGTTAATCGTAATGTACAAAAGTTATTTACATTTGTTTTTGCAAGATGACTTTTAATTTTTTATAACATTCAAAAAATGTTTTAATATATGTTAATTTATATTTTATTTAATTGCAAAGATTTTTTATTTTGAAATTTATTCCATCAGATTATGATATATCATTATTACGAAATGTTATTACTTATTTTTTAATTAATTTTTAATATAAAACTATAAATTACAATAAACTATGAAGTTATGTAATTATTTTTTAAATTGATTCTAATCTTGACTTTAAAAGTCCATTTTTATTATATTTATAATATTTAATTTAATAACAAAAAAGAAATATAATATCTGAATTATGAATAACGATATTTAATATATACTTTTTAATATTTTTTTGTATGATATTAAAATTAACCCTAACAACTTTTAAACTTTACTATTCTCACAAATAGAAAATTCTGAATTTATTATGTTTAAATAAAAAAAATTACATAATAATATAATAAAGAATTTAACTTAATCATTTATATTTAGGACAATAAATAATGAATATAATGCTTCAATTTTATTGTTTTATATGATTAAATTTTTATTCTTATCACATTGAGACCCAAATACATAGTTACATTTCATAATGCCATTTTATATATAATGTTTAAATTGTAATGTAAATAATTATTATAAATAATAAATAATCAATATTTATTGTCAACTGAATAGATAGATTTATTCATTCAGTTTTATCAATTTTACAAAATGAATAAATCTATCCATATAGGTATCAATGTGGTAAGTAATATGCACTATTTATTTCTATAAAAAATATATTTTATATGTAAATCATGCATTGTAAATTTTATAATTGTGGAAATAGTAGATGCATGAAATACTTTACTATTTCTATTTACAAATTAAAAAACAAGTTACAAAAATAATCTGAGTTGTAAGGGTTAATATTATGAGTGCAAAACAATCAGTCAATTATTTATCATTATACTCATTGCAGTTCATAATTATGGTTTAGTTTGGATATACTAAAAATATAGGTGAAAAAATGTACACAACATATTATTATGCAGAAGCTTCTGCTTTAATCAAAGAAAATAGAATTTTTTTTACTAGTTTTCAATTTTATTACATTATCAGTTTTAACACGTTGACTGCTATACATAAAATACATTATTTGTTTGTATTTTTTATGCATTACTTTTATGCAAGTTCATACTGTTGAAATTATATTTTTAATTTCCAAAAAGAAAATTATAATATTCTTTTAAATATATATTATATATATAATACTCAATATTATATATTTTAATTTACTAATATGTACAGAAATAATTTTTATAAAAACCTCTGATAAAAAATTAATCAATATCTCAATGACAATATAATATGATATAATTAACATATATTAAATTTTGTCATATATAAATATTATATATAATACTATAATAATATTATATATAATTATGTTATAATACATTCTACATAAAAATGAATATAAAAATAGATATAAAAAATGAAAATACTAGATTTATAGACTTTTGAAAAGTACAATCAATATTAAATAATATAAAGTCAAAAAATATTTATAGAATATTTAAGATTAAATATTTTTGGTAATAGTAATAGTCTTTTATATTAATAATTTACTATATGAAAAAAATAATAAAATTAAATTATTTAGAATATCATTTTTTTATTATAAAATGAATTATAATAAGTAATAAATATTTGAATAAATATATAATAATATTTAAATTTTTTATTTTTTTCTAAAATAAAAATCTTTTAAAATAAATTTGAATTTTTTCTATTATTCTATTCTATTAATTTCTATAGTAATTAAAAATATATATAATTCAAACCTTTTATGTAGCATGTATTAAAAATAGCAGTTATTTCAAATAGAAATAAATAGATAGAATAAATTATATGAAAATTTATTTTATTAAATTTGTTCAAGAATTTAATTATTATTCTCTAATATCATTTTTAAGTTTAAGATATTTTTGATATTTTTAATAGTTTTAGTTTTAATAAAATAACTATGTGTAATTGAATATTATATATTTTATCAATATAAATATCACATATGTTTTATTATAAGAAGATAATAATCATTGTAAAATATTAATGTATTACTGAAAATTTAGAATTTTGAAAATTAGCTATCAACGTGTTAAAATTTAATTATGATATATTAACAATCACAAAAGATAACATCTTCTAAGCCAATTGGATTGCACTATCTTTCATCTTTTTACTTTTTTTCTTTACAGTCTTAACTTTCATAATAGTCTTTCCAGCCTTTCCCTTGATTGGTAAAGATTTTTCCTTTAATGATTTCATTTGTAACTTCATTTCTGCTTTTGATAATTTCTTGTTTTTCATACTTTTTACACCAAGCTTACTGTCTTTTTTAACTTTGGTAGCAGTTTGAATTGTTATACCGGATCTTACACAAGATCCGGGTAGCTTGTACTAGGCAGTAACTTTCACCTTTTTCTTCCTTTTTTTCTTCTTTTTATCATGATGAAGTTCTTGTTTTTTGGCTATACAATAACGACAATACCAATCTTCGTTATCAGCTGGTGGTACTTGCATCCCAACACATACCCTAAATAATTGAAAACATAAATTAACATACAAAACATGAAAATATACAAAATAAAATTATTTTGAATAGAAAAAAAAGATTTTTATATTATATTTCTGATTTGATAATTTACTATAAATTGTAAAAATAATTTTGAAAGTAACATAAATATAATTTTTTTCTTTTATTATGAAAAAAGAAAAAAAAATATTAATGAAAAAAATGTTGAAAAAAAAATTAGAGATTATTTAATATAGATACAATGATTTGAATTGAATGAATAATATGAATTGAAATTCATATTTAATTAAGTTGTAATTATAAAAGCAATTTAAGTGATAAAAATATTCAATTTTTATATATAATCTCTTTGTATTTCTATTGTAATATTAAATATAATTTGAATTTAATTTAATTTAAAAAATTGATAAATTAAATGATATATATATAATATTTAAATTCTTAACATTTTAAAATATTAAATGTCAATGTACAAAATAAAATTATTTTATTTATATTAGAAAATAATTTATTACAATTTAACACAATTTCATAAATAATTATTATTTTATCAAAATTCACTTACCAATGATACCATGCATCGCAATCATCACAACCAACCATAGGTGATCCATCATCTTGATTACCACATGCAGGACATATCCAAACTTGATGACCACCTTGATCCTGAAAGACTCATGTGACGATAAAAATACAATATACTTATCTTTTATTATATATTTGGATAACCCAACCTATCTTTTGTATTTTTTATATTTTAATAATATATTATTTAAAAATAATATATTATTAATATATTAGATATTTATTAAAAAATATCTAATATATATTAAATTCTTAATATATTTAGATATTATATTTTGTTATTTATAATTAAAAAATTTAGAATATGATAAAAGATTTATAATAGTATTTAATAAATAGTAATAAAGTTTGTTACATTTTAAAATTAATAAAATATTTTCCAAAGTATATAAGACAAGTTGAGAATGAAAATGAATGTAAATGATTAAAAGTTGGATGAAAATGAAATATTTATGAATTAAAATATATTATGACTAGTATATAAATTGTTTACTCAATAACTTATATAATGAAAATAATTGATGAAATAGCTGTTATGAAAATAAAAACAAAACCAATATCTTAAAAGTAATATAAAATGTAAAAATTATATAAATAAAATTCATGTAATTATATTATAAAATATATATTTATTTAATTACATATAAAATTCAAGAAAATAATGTAAGTAAATGTATGATTTATTGATTTAATGTATATGAGTGTAAATAGGGAAGGAATAATATATTTATATAAAAAAATGAAGTATTGATCTGCGGTAATGAAATAAATTTTCACTTGGCCCAGAAATAATAAAAAAAAAAAAAAAAAATACATTCTATGATAAAATTATTCATTTAACAACATACATTTTAATTATTCAAGGACCAAATTCATTATACCAAAATCATAAAATTATTTACTTTCAGATCCATTTTTTTTTATTTACCATATTAATTACTAAAATTTTATATTTCAAATGCTTATTAGTATATACAAATTTATCTTTATAAATGCAAGTATTTAAATTTAATTTATTTAAATAATAGTTAGTTTTATATTAAAGAATAGTATCTATAATAAAGTATAAATAAAAAATTAATTTACATAATGAATTATTTAATTTTAAAATTTAAAACTTTTATATTATTTTTAATAATACAGAAAATGTCTAAACAAAAAATATTATATACTAATATAATATTATTGATATAATAGTATATAACATATTTGTTACAGACATAAATATTATGAAAAGCAAAAAATATTTTTCAAATATTTTTTTTTAATAAAATTATAATTTTATTGTTATAATATTATAACTAAAATAAAAAGACAAATTCATTTAAAAACATGTGTTACTTTTTTAGATGACTTAAAGAATATTTGTTATTTGATTTAATAGATAGATAATACTTTTTATATTTTAAATGTTTAAATTAATAAATATTAAATATAAAATAAAAAAAATAATTTATAAACAAAAGATAATTTTTGATTTCAGTAATTACAATATTAAAACTTTACAAATAAAAAAACTTTAATAAACTGTACAATAATATTATTGCATTTTTATATTAGATGATTATATAAGTTAAGTTATATAAGTTATTAAAATAATTCAAATATGTTATATATTGATGAACTTTTATTAGTAAAATAAAAAAATATCTTTACAAGTTATATATCTTACAAAAATGTTGATAAATCATTTTCAAATGCTTTAAAATCATATAAAATCATATAAATTATAATATTATGAAATATTTTCCATATTTATTGATATGATGTGAATAAAAAATCATTTTTTTATGATAAGTATTGTCTATCACATTTTCTTATAACATTATAAAATAAGATAGAAAAATTTTTAAATTGTTTTAAAAAAAAAGTTTTAATTGTTTAAATATTAGATAATTCATTTTTATAGAAAATACTGCAATGTATGAACATCAATATATAAATTATATATTATATGTAAATATAATATATTGTTTATAATTGTATATAATATAATATATTTAATATATAAGTATTATAAGTATAATATATTTGTAATATAAGTAATGTAATATAAGTATAATATATTTTATACAAATACATAATTCTATATATATATAATAAAATAATATTTTCAATTTTTTTATCTATTAATAATAAAAAACAAATTTAATGATTATATAAATTAAAAATTATTCAAAATTTATTTATAGATAAATTGTGTTTATGTTGGACTTTAAATTTATACAAAATAAGATAAATAAATTATAATAACAATACATTTAAAGTATTCTTTTATAATTAGTTTATAAAGAATGATATTTTTTTCTACTGAATTTTTTTATAAATTTGATATTATTTTAAACAGTTTTTTAATAATTATTAAACAGTTTTATAATAATTATTTCTTTTCTTTAATATTTTCAAATGATTTTATATAAATATATAAAATTTTATATAAATATATAAAAATGTGGTAATATTTAATAAATAAAAATTTTATTTTGAATTTATTTTGAAAAAAAAAAAAGAAATAAGAGAAAAATTTATTAAATATTTAATATATATAAATTATAATGCAGAAAAAAAAATTAATTTCAATATTAAATGTATAATTTTTATATGCACAATGTATATGAAAATTATAAATTATATACATGTATATAAATTTTATTTTACAATCATATGTTATAAAATATGTTATAAAATATAAGATTTTGTTACAAATTCACATTGTTTTTATATACTTATAAATATAAATATGTACATATACTTGTATATATTACAAGTATACATAAATTGATATTAATCTTTTTAAAGAGGAAAGTTTTAAATAAGATTATTTTAAATAAATTTTAAGATGGTAAAGATTTTTGGATTAAAAATTGAAAAAACGTTTCTAATATCATAATTATAATGAATTCAAGCAAAAGCTAAAAATAATGCACAAACCCATGTATGTCTATGAAACTGACGCAGATAGAAAACTAGATGATACTTTAAAAAAAGTATCCAATGACTTTAAAATGGGAATGTACTCACCACAGTAGTGGTTGATGTTGGGGGCAGCGCAATCCTGCCATTTTCTTTGTCTTCTTTAGCATCATCCTTTTTAAGAGCTGCATCTGCTTTCGTCTCTGTGCCGTTAAAACCGTTGGTTATATTCCTAACTGTTTTGCATGCTATGTTTAATAACAACATGCAAGTTGCATGCAATCAAATCTTCACTATTGTAAACTATTTAATCTTCTTTTATATATATAAAATAGTTATTTATTTTATTTTTATAAAAATAATGAAATATATTTTTATTGAAATATATTATTTATTGATATATATTTTTTCTTTTAAACTTAAATTTATCATGATTAAATCTATTTATTACTAATTCAACAATTGTTTATTATTTTTTTATAACTATATATTTTTTATATAATTAATCTTTTTTATAATAAATATTTATCCTAAATTTTAATAAATTAAAGACATGAATATATAATTTATTTAAAGAATAGATTTAAATAGAAATATTTTTTTCTTCTCTTTTTTTCTCTAATATAATATATTACAAATATATTAAATCACATTTTTAAGAATAATAAACAAGATATACATAAATAATAGATATATATAATTTTTTTATATAAAATATGAAATAAATAAAAAAAAATAATTAAAGTATTTAACATTATATCTTATATAATAAATATAATATATAATATAACATTATATCTTATATCTTATACAATGTTATATACCAATAAAATAGTATATAATTGTATAATTTTCATTTATTATAAATTAGCATGCTCTAATAAAATTATTTTTTTATTATTTTTTCAATTTCGTATTATACTTTCTCAAATATATTTTAATATTTTTATATTTTATCACGTATATTTATAATATTAATCATTTTTAAATAAATAATAAAATATTGTTTTATAATTTGCTGTTTTATAATTTCCCTTTTTTTAAAAGATTAACATAAATTGTCATTTAAAATAGTTTATTTCAAATTATTATTTATATTGTATCAAATTTTATTTTTTTTATTATTTCTTTTATTTTAAAGAATTTCATACTTATATTTAAAAAAATATAAATTACTTTAAAATTTTTAAATGTTTTCATATTGCATGTCATATTAAAATTATTATATTAATATATTATTCAACTTATATTTATATATTTTTATTAATATTTTATTATATATTTTTATTATTATTAAAATTTTATTAATTATTCATTATATTATTCAATTCATATCTTATTTAATTCTTTAATAATTTAATTTTTTAATAAGAAATTAATAAATTATTATATTAATATTATATATTAATTATATATTATTATATATTAATTATATTAATATTATATATTAATATTATATAATATAAAAATATTAATAATATGCATTTCTTTAATTTTATTTTAAATATTTTATTATAAAATAGTATATTTTAATAAAATAAATATCAATTTTATAATTTTATAATTCATAATTATAATTAAAAAAGCAATAAATTAATTAATTCAAATATATATATCTAATTATTTCAAATATAAAATATAATTTTTATAATGTGTTTGAATTAAGTTAAGTATTGAAAAAAAAATTTATATATGTTAATATATTATAATATATATATATAACAAAACATTATTAATTTATATTTGTTTTATATATTAAAATTTATAAAATTATAAAATTTATATATTACAATTTATAAAATTTTTTTATAGTTTATAGGCATTAAATATTATTAAATATTGTTTTATTCTTTTAAATATTTAATATTTAAAAATGATTTCTATAAATAAAAAAATTATAATAAAAAAATAATATAATTAAAATTTAAATAATAAAATATAATATTTTATTAAATTTATATATCGCATGTTTATATCGATCGTCATGCTTTTTCAGACATTTCTGACAATTTGAAAAAAAAAAAAATGTTTGAAATGAAAAATCATTAATGCTCTATTGTTAACAAATTATAATGTAAAAAGGACAAATATATTATTTTTTTTTTTTTTAGAAAATCGGGATTACTTTTTTTTTGAAATTCTGTATTACTTTTCCTATAAATATAATATAATAAAATATAATATTGTAAATAACATTAAGGCGAATTTAATGATGTGCAACATTAATATATTTGTTCAACTATTTGTTAAAAAAAACATTTTTAAAAAAATTCCTTATTAACGCTAAGTCAAACATTAATATTTTTGTTTTTCTTTATTATTTTTCTTTATTACTATGCACGTTTTTGCTATATAAATAGTAAATAAATAACTCGATTTTATTAATAATGTGAAATTATATTATCTATTAATCTCAAATAAATAATTTATATTCCATACTGTTTTCTGCAAACTTTCTGAAAATTTTTCTCTTTCCATTAAATTTCAATATCAGATAATATAATTACGAATTGAAGATGAAATCATCAAATCTATTTATTCTAACAACAAAGCGTATATAGTAGTAAAGTGAAATTGGAAGAAAAACATTAATATTTGGATTTTTGTTTTATTATAAATGTAACTTTTCTCAATAACATGAACGAATGTACTATTAATATTGCATATTATTGAATTCATTTTATATCATTTTTGAATTTATTTTGAATATCATTTTATATTATATAAAAAAAGTTATATAATAATTTAAAAAATGATACTGATTTTTTATAAAAAATATTTGTTTTATAATTTGTTAATTATAGATCAACAACATTTTTTATTTTAAATTTAATTTTTTTTCAAATGGCTAGAAGTGTCTGAAAAATCTTAATCGAATCTAATTTTAACCGATATCAATTTTAACATTGAATAATTTGTCTCTAAAATAAATAATATTTATTTTTTTAAATATTATATTATTTGTTATAAGATTCAAATTGAAGTGCTTAAATTTAATACACATAAATAATTTTAAATCATAATAGATTCAGAATATTAATTGATATAAAAATAATTATTGATAAAAAAACATTTATAGATAAGAAAAATTTATAATTATAATAATTATAATATACAAATTCAGAATAAAAAAAATTAAAAATTAAATTTATTAAAAAACTAATAAATATATAAATAATAAAAAATATTTTAATAATTTTTATAAATTACTTGTAAAATAGGAAAATTTAAAATTTTTTTAAAAAATTAAATGTAATATTTTTAAAAAAATTATTTTCTAAATAAATATAATATATCATATAAATTTATTAAAAATTTTATTTTGTATCAAATTCTGATTTTTTTTTAACATTTCATATAAATAATTTAAATGAAAATGAAAATTTTATAAAATATAATTCATTATTTTCTTAAAATTTTTTCTTATAAAAAATAAACATACAAAAATATTATATAAAAATATTTAAATAAATTTAAATATTTAATAACATTTAAATAAAATAATTGATATAAAATTATAATTTTTTAATTAAAAAATTTTGAAATTATTTAAAAATTGTTTTATCATCAAATTTAAGATATAATTTTAAGAAAACTATATTAAAAATATATACATATATTATTATTATTATATTATAATTATTATTATTATTTAATAATATCCTTGATATATAATAATATTTTTGAAGATATGAAATGAATATAAATTTTTTTTAAAAAATCAATAAAAGAACTAACTGATTGTGAAAAAAAAATACAAATTAATGTATATATTATAATTATAATGAAATTATAGTATGCTTATAATTAAAAAAAAATTATTATATTATAATATTAAATTATTTAACTATATTCTTAAAAATATTTATATTTTTTATAACAATTGTTTGAAATTTGAGAATTTATAATATATATATCTTTTATTATATACATATAATATTATGTTAATTATGATTTCATGATTCAGTTCTTTAATAATAATATTTTTTCTCGAAATGAAAATAAAGTAATTTAATATTAGGGGCTGCAAATTTAAATATTTTTAGAATATAATTATATTAAAAACACTATTTATTTCTTAATAGATGTATTTAAAGAAAAGAGATATACTTAAAAAAATTTTTATAATTTGTATTATTTTAGAAAAAAGTATTTCAAAAAATTTTATATCTTTTTATTTTATACTATATAATTTATATTAATATAATTTTAAAAATTTTTATGTATAAATAATGCAGTCTATTTTTGTGAAAATCTATCTTTATATGTATATTATATATGTATATTGTAAATGAATAATTATACTTAAAATAATTTAGAAGAAATGAATCTAATTTTTATTATCATAATTTTTATTATCATATCAATTTTATCAATGTTATAAAGAATTATTTTCTTTTTCCTATTAAATTAAATATTTTTATTATATTATTTTATATAAACTACATGAAATATATCAAATGTACATTACAGAAGGAAATATTAAAAGAAGAAAAGAAACTTTGAAACCCATTTAAGTAGAAGTATAATATAAGAAAGGTCTTAGAACTTGGTTCATTAATTACCTAAAAAATTTATTATCACTAAATAATATTTAGTATTAAAATAATTTATAAAAAAATAGTTTAAAAAAAAGTTTATAAAAAAAAAATCATAAATAGTATTAACAAAATACAATTAAGTTCTGAGACTTTTTTAATATGAAAAGATTCCACCTAAGTAGATTCCACCTAACTGATTGTGATAGAAGTGCTAATTGAATTTGAAGTGATCAGTTTGAAATAAATTGGTAATCACAACACGAAATAAGTAATAAATCTAATGTAGGCTATGAAGTTGTTCTACATATACACTTTAGAGACAAATGTATCTATACAACAAAGCAGGCCAAATGAAAATTATACCGTCACCGCAAGTCATGAATGCATAGAAAATAAAAAATGAAATATTGGGAAACTGGATTATTGGATAAGGTAAAAATGGTATCGATGGATCGAGTTAATTATTGTATTAAAAGTAACATCAGTTACATATAATTAAGATATTTGACATCTATATGAAATATTGGTTTGAAATTCAAATAAATTATCTAATATATTCTTATTTGAAATACTATATGAAAGCATGTTTATATATATATATGTTTGTGTATATGTGCATACATATATACGGTGTACGATATAAAAGTATTTTTTATTGTGACATTTCTAATAATCTTACAAAAAAATATTTGAAACAAAAATTAATTAGTCTTAATATAACTAAAAACTATAATAAAAGATTTTTTCAAAAATTCATTTTTTTAAATAAAAAATCATGAACATCTTAATTTTTGTGACATTATGTATTTTTGATTTGATTAATTGACAGGTAATTGACATCAAAATGAATTCAATAATTTATTATATTATGATCTTTTTAGAAATTTTGGCCAACTAATTAATATTAACATGAAAAATTATTTTATTTTAATTATATAATTATAATTAATTATAAACAATATTAAAATAGAAATCATATCTAATAAATATCATCTAAAATATTTTATAATTATTTATTATAAAATATTATGCAAAATAACATTATTGTTATTGTTGAATCTGTTTATTAATTTTATTTGTTTCATAATTTTCTTAGTTATAGTTTAATTTAGTTTATAGTTTGACAATTAGTATTATTTTAAATATATAAGTCAATAATATATAATTATATAATTGAAATTAAATAATTTTCCACATTAATGTTTCTAATTATTGAGTCAAAATTTTGAATTTAAAATGTAAAAGTTATAATAGTAAATTGTATAATAAGCTGTATAATATTAAATTGTTTTGACATCAATTGCAATTATAAAGTCAAAGATATATGATACGATTCACAAAAATCATTAAATTATTAAAAAAGCAAATTTTTGCAACTTTTTTTATTACACTTTATAGCTAAAATGAAGCTGATAAACTTTTCTTTTGAATATTTTTTTGTGAAATTATTAAAATGCTACAAACATGAATGAATACTTTTAGATTACAGCATATATATATATTCATATACAAATATATACATAATATATGTAGATACTATAGCAATATTAATCTAAACAAAGATATGAATAATAATAATAATTAATAAATAATTAATTTAATTAAAGAGGGCTGTTATTTCAATTTACTATATGAAATATTAAAAAATAAATTTATATATGAAATTTGTAATTTTTTTTTGCAATTAATGACTATCAATTATATGAAGTTTCTAAGAATACAGAAAATCAAAATATAGTATTATTTTACAATATTTTATAGTATATTATAATTTTATTTAATAATATTATTTAATAATATACTTATATTTATATAAGCAGAGAAGTAATTATCTTTACAAAATATTAATACATATATACTGAAAATTTTAATAAATTTATATTAATAATATAAATAAAGCAAAATAAAAATAAAATAAAAATTAAGTTTATATTACATCTTAATTAATATAATTGAAAAAAGTTTATAAATTTATTTTACAAAACTTACAAGAAAATAATCCTCAAAAAATATTGTTTTTATTATAAAAATTATAAAATATAACAGCCCTCATATATTTATTAATTTTATATATTTGATTTTATAAGAAATACTCTGAAATATTTGAAAACATAATCAAATGTTATATTTAAAAATAAAATATTATATTTAATAATATAATTACATGTTATATTTAAAAATATAATATTTTATATTTGAAATATATGGTTATATCATATAAAAGCGTACTTACAAAATAATACGGTGGTTGTTGTTGCATCAGAGGAGTTGGGAGCTTAGGAGTAGGATCAAATTGAGATGGAGGAGTCTCTCTTTGAGGTAAGGCTTTGAAGAGAGATTTCTTTGCTCGAGGAACTGTTGCAAGTGGCACACTAGTAAGATTGGCAGAGAAAGTATCTGTAGGAAGAGCAGGGCTTCCATCTAACGTTCCCTCCTCAGTTTTCTTACTTGCCGACTTTTGCTTTGGTGGTCGCGTGACTAATGCTGATATTTTGGCCAATTCTGGACTTGGTTCTCGTTTTGTCTCATCCTCAGGCTTCTTCAGCAATGTTTTTATAGTTCTATAACACATTTCCCTAATAATAATATATGCGTTATTAAATACATGGAATGTATTCAACATTAACGCATAATATAATACTTTGATAATAATAAAATATAATGTTAAATATAAATATTTCAATATTGAAAATAAATTTTTCTTTTTCTAAAAAATTTTTTTTTTAAATGATACTTTAATTAACAAAATAAAAGAAAATAATAACTTATTAATAAACTAAAAACAATTGTGAACTTACATTTTCTTCATTGGAGCAGTATCTGGTGTTGGTGGTCTCGGAGATGCTGTACCTAATTTTAATGTTATTTTTGGTACAGCTTCAAAATTTTTATCTTCTTTCTGCAATAAAATAATATTAAAACATCAATTTTTTAATTTCTAATTTTTATAAAAAAAAGCTAATAACTAATATTAGAAATAATTTAATAAATTATTAGATTTTTATTATAAATAAAAATATTTATACCTCTTTTTCTTTTCGTTTATCTTTCTTTTCTCTTTTTTCTTTAATTTTATCTATTTTTTCTTTTTTATCTATTTTATCTTTCTTTTCTTTTATTTTTTCTCCTTTTTCTTTGTGTTTTTCTTTTTTATCTTTTTTCTTTTTTAATTTATCTTTCTTTTCTTTTTTATGTTCCTTTGATTTCTGAAAATAAAATTTATAATTTAATTAATTTAATAATAGAAATCTTATATTTTTTTATAAATTATTTAATAAATATAATGAAATATTAAACTTGGATATATATTCCTGGAAAATTTTTTAATATTAATATTAATATAAACATTATTTTTTAATATTATTTTTTATAAGTTTTCAATTTTCTATGCATATTCAATTCTCTTTCTCATATATAATATATAAAAGAAAATATTTATAAATTTTATATATCAAAAATATAATAAAAAAATATAATAATTATTCATAAATTTGTAATATAAAAAATTCTCGTATTTAAGAGTATAAATTTTTAAAAAATAAGTTGAAATAATAGTGAAATTAAATAATATGACAAAATATTCACATTTTTTGAAAAATATAAAATAATATTTTGAAATAATTCAAACGTAAAAAAATTAAATAAAATAAGATAAAGAAAATTATTAGATTAAATGTATAAAAAGTGTATTAATTCCGAATATTGCTATAAAAAAAAAACGAAAATTAAAATTAATTTTTTGAAAGATCTTATATCGAAAAAAAGAAAAACTTTAAAAAACTTTCTGTATTACCCTCTATGTACCCTCTTTATACTCTCTTGCAAAACGAGTTGTGAGGCAAATTGCAATAAAATTTAAATATTAATTTAAATGTCAAGATTAAATATTTGTATTATAATTGATAAAAAAACTGTCATTAATAAGATATAAAAATATAGTTATATTATATATTATAAAAGAATAGTAATTTATTTTAAAATAAAATAATTATATAATAACTTTAAATCATGAAAATAACAGAAATAAAGAAGATTAAGAAAATAATCTATACAATATTTTTTCTATTAAATATAATTATATTTATATATTTGTTATCATTTTCTTAAAATTTATATTTTAATACAAAAAAAATATTTAATACTAATTTTTTTCAAATTATCCAAAATTCAGAATATTATAAAATTTTGGGAGTATATAAAACATTAATTAATCTTCACAATTTTTTAAGTATTCTATTATCTAATGAATATTCTATAATCTATAATTTAATAAAAAAAAAATTCAAACGTAATCAATATTTATATATAATATATATATATATATATATAATTAAGAAAAAATTGCAGTTTTAAAAATAATATATCTTTAATAAAAAATTAAAACCAATATGATAATTTTTAAGATCATGCACTTTTAAATTTATAAGAAATTTAAAAATTATAAATTATAAATTATAAATTTAATGAGCTAATAAAATATAATTTTGTAATGACTTTAAATTCAGAAATTGTAATATTATAATAACTGAAAAAAAGAAATTTATGAGTTATAAATTGAGCGCGACTGTGACAAACAAATTATTAAAACGTTTGTTATTATGTGTCATATAATAAGTGATATTTCAGATTATTTATTTTTATAAAATTTGTATTCAATGAAGTTGATTTTGCATAATATAACTTAAGATTATTTATATTTGCTCGTTACACGCTTTTTTTTTTATTTTTTTCATATTTTATAAAATGAATGTAATCAAAATGTTTTTTTTTAAATGATGATAGTGATCATGTTAAAGAATATATTTAATAAATTAATGATTAGTAAAAATTTTTTCTCGCTTAAAGAATTAAAAGTAATTTAACAAAAATATTGTAAACATCTTGAAACATCAGAAGTGAATTTGTCGAAATGGATTGCTTGGTGCATATGAATGATATAATATCATTATGATTCAATTGCTATATTTTATTATGTTTATGTTTCTAATGATGCAACAATGAAACATTAACAGAAAAAATAATTAAACAATATGTTCTATTTCAACGATTTTTAAAAAAAATTATAAAAAATTAATTATATTAGTGCAATTGATAAGTCAAACATACTCAGAAACTTCTATTCATATTAAATTTTTTCTTTCTTTTATAATCATTAATATTTATTTATGATATACTATTAATACATATCAACATATCTTTTTCATAGATAATAAAAAATTCTCAAATTTTATTTTTTTTTATGTCAAATTTAATTTCTCTTTGGAATCCTCTGTTCTTTATTATATTTGCATTTCATCACAATGATCATCACAATGCATCAATTAAATATGAATTATGCAATTTTCTTTTGCTGTTTAAAATCGCTTTAAAAAAATGAAATTAAGTTTTGAAAATTCAATTATTTTTTGTTATAATTTGTAAACTATAAAAAACACAGAAAAAGATTTAAAACAAAAGTTATTTCTTTTTAAGATTATCATTTGGTAAAACATTTATTGTTTATATAATTAAAAAAATGTTATAAATAAAAAAATTAATATTTTTTAAAATTTATTTTTTATATAATATAAAATTTTTTAAATTTATATATATATTATATATTATATTATATTATATTATATTATATTATATTATATTATATTATATTATATTATATATATATATTATATATATATTATTATATATATTTAATATAAAATTTTAATCAATAATCTAAATAATTACGTTAGATTTAAAAAAACAAATAGATTCTTATTATATTTCTAGATATAAAAATAATATAGCTATTTGATGTATATTCCAATGTGATTTCTGTCTAGAAGAAATTGTACGGAAATTTTTCGATTTATATTATATAATTAATTTATATATAATTATTATATAATATATTATATAATATAATATATATTATATATATTATTATATAATTATTATATAATTATTATATAATTAATTATTATATAATTAATTTATATTAATCTATACATGTATGGAATAATATCATTAAATTATCATTAAATTTCTTATTCATAATCAACTTTCGTAAAAAAAAAAATCAAAGTTAATATTTAGTTAATTATTTAGTTAATAATTTTTTTGAAGTTATTATAATATAATAAAGTTACATTTATTATAAATTACGATGTATTTACTTATATTATATATATGATATAAGAATGAATATATTGACGAGGAATCAATTAATTTTGAAAATTTAGTACAATTCATTTTTTTCGCAATAAAATTTTGCCGCTTCATTGTTTCATATGCGTCAATCATAGTATTATGTAATCTAGATAGAATAACAACTTTCTATTTGTAACATTATTAATAATATAATTCATTTTGTTACTTATATGCTTTCACTTTTATTCACTCATTTTTTATTGAATCCCTTTATTATCTGATAGATAAAAAAATAAAGAAATTTGATAATTACATTAATAATGATTACAAAAATAGAGATTTTATAAAATAGTTATATGTATAAATTTATTTTTTTTTGTTTAATAAAAAAAAAAAGTATATAAATTTCTCTACTTTTGAAAATTTAACAACGAAAATCAACAAGCTGCATAAATACACTAAAGTATTTATTAAAAAAAAAAAGTAATTATTTTGTTTTTTTATATCATTATATATTTATTTAGTTATTTAGGTATATATATAATTATTTAGGCTAATTGAACTTTACGTTGCTAATTAAAATTTTATATTGAAAAACTTAAAAAAATTATTTTTTTGTTTTTTTTATTTGTATAAACAATTAATAATAAATATAAATATAATAAATATTTTATTAGATAGCTGTTACGAAAAGAAATAATTTTTGTCTGACAATTTTTTTTGTATTTCTTATAATTATAATTATAACTCATAAGTTATAACTTGCAAATAAAATTGAAAAATAGCTGAATTTTCAAGGATTAATTTCATTTTTTTTAAAGTGATTTTGAATAGTAAAAAAAAAAAAAAAAAAATTACATAATACATATCTGCATAAGTACTATATATTTCCAAAATTTCATAATTTTTTGAATTTTCGAGATGAATTTTGGAGATCTTTTCTTGTAAACTGTTCCCTTCACGAATATTCTTATTGGGTACGATAGGAACCAAATCCTGATCAGTCGTATATTCAAATTTTGAAAATAATCAATTTATAAAAATGATGAAGCTAAAAGTCAAAAAATTGAATAAATACATCATTTCAATTGACTAACAATAGAAACAGTTGAACAAATATGACATGTACTTCAACAGTGGTCTATAAAGTCAAGATCTTATGATTATAAAAAAAGTTGCATGGAATAAAACTGAATTCAATATGTTAATGATGCATATAATGTGTAAAATATCTAAGATTATTCACACCCACAATAATATTGTAGTAATGAATGAAAACTTGTAAGTACATGTATATATGTGTTTGCTCTTTCGACTAAAATATATACTTGTGTATGTAGAAGCTGGTACTTGTGACAATGATGTATTTTCTTCATGATAAGTGGACTGTTTAGTGCGGTACGCGTGTCTTGCGTACGCTTGACGCTTGTACGCTTATACGAAGGCTTGATTTCTCAATGTCATAGTAGGTAATCATGTATCGACAGTCAGAGCACGATGTGTTACAAGAAAAGTACTTATTTCTCGTATTTGATAGTCAGAAATATGTTTACAACAAGCATTTAATTAGACTTTCTTTTAAATGAGGTTCGTATCCTTAGAAAATGCCTTCCTAATTTAATTGGAAGAATCATGTTTTCCAACTGAGGTATATGTAATAATTAATAAAATAATATCGTGCCTGAATTGCAACAACCCCAAGTTAGAGAAAAATTTATCTCGAATTTATCAGTGTATAAAGATATTATGATGTTGATAATTAGAGATTAATTAGCATATATTTATTATAAATTTTCTTGAACTAAATGATGTTGGTTGCCATTGAGTCAACCATATCTGGATGTCACCCTTGGGATCGGGTTCCGTTCCAGTCAGGCTGAACATTAAAAGTATATAACTATCGACTAAACTCTTCTCAAAAACGAGTTTTCTCAGTAGTTTTCTCAAATAACATCATTCTTTGTTTAGGCTTAATAGAAATCGGCAACTGATAATAATAGAAAAAAAAGTTTCCATATGAGGATTTTCTTCGAATAAGTTATAAATCTCGCAAGCAATAAGTGCTCGCGAATAGAGAATATCTATACTCTAATTGTATAATTTAATTTTTAATTAATGAATTTCAGAAATAGATCATTTTTTGACGTAACAGCCCAATTTTTTAACACATTTTATTCATTTGTCAATAAGTTTTAGTATTCATTAAAAAATGTATTCAACTGAGTTGCAAGCCATAAATGCATTGCTGTTTTCATTAAATATGAATTTTTATCCTCGTAGGTTTATTTTTAACGGATGAAATAAGTAATAATAAAGATAAAACAAGATCAGAATTACGACAAAGATTGCGTTAACATCTTAAAACGAAATTTTTGAAAGATAGCATTGTACAGACATGTAATATTACTATCTTTTTTTATAAATCATAATTAAAATAGTTACTGTTTTTTACATTACAATTACTGTAGTATACAAGTAAACTATATAATACATTCAAATCTGCATAATAGTTGCATAATAGATTGGAGAAACAATAATCTTGTAAAAAGATTGGTAAGACAATATAATTAAAATTTTAATATGATGAGAATATGGATAATTTTTTATTATCTTTATATATTTTTTATATAGATACCGAATTTTATATCGAATCTGCAATCATCAAAGCATTTACTAATAATGTAAGAGCAAAATGAAGATGTCTTTGTTATTTTTGTAGCATTGCAAGATATAGAGAAAATGTTCTATTATTATTATTCTATAAAAATCTATATAATATAAAATATCCTTTCGTATCACAACTATCATGATTACGGATAGCCTAGATAAGGATTTAAGTTGAATTATAATATGAATTATAATTCTAGTAACATTGCAAAATAAATGAGTTTCTGAATTCAGTTAATCTTTTCAGAAAAAAATGTATAACAAAGCAGAGAGTTTTTAAGAGTTTTTCGTACTAAGAAATGCAATCGTGCAGATTTTAGCCGACTATTTTGCATTCTTTTTTTTTTTTTTTAAATGAATACTAATATCTATGATTTTTTTTTTTAAATGAATACTAATATCTATGAAAATTTCCTCTCTATATATAAAATTATATATATAAAATTAAAAGTATCATCAAGAGATTGTTTAGTTCAATGCAACAAGTTCACATATTTTTATAAATATAATTTCTGAATTATTATAATTTATTATAATTTTGTATATAAAGAGCATATCATGTTTCTCAATAATTGTTAATCTCAATATTATAACCTTCAAATATAATATATGAACGTAAATAAATAAATACTACTAAAAAATTCTAAATATAGATTTTTATCTTTAGAAATATTTAAAATTAATTATATATATAAAAATTATTTGTAATGTTAAAAAATTAAAAAAAAAAAAAAAACAAACATGTAGAAATTTAGAAAATTATTTTTTAAAACTATATATAAGAATTTATTATAAAAAACTTTGTAAATTTATTATATAAAAAATTTATTATATAAAACTTTGTAAAAGATGAATTCGTATATTTACTTTCATTATTCATAATATGTATACATTCATAATATGCTATATTTATAATATCTTACATAAAATTTATTTCTAATTATTTGATTATCTTGTGTATATTTTTTATTTTTTTTAAAAATATAATACATCAATTTTATGTATTGGCAAATTAACAATGATTTAAATAAGATAATAATATCAACAATAGATTTGTGACAATTTTTGAATTCAAATTCATCACAAGATCATAGTATATTAGATTATTAAATTTATCTTGCTATAAATTTAAAAATACATAATTTTAAAAAATATAATTTCTTTTTAAATAAATATTGACAAGAATTTGTTAAAATATTTTTTGTTCAAATTATCAAAGGTGTCTGAAAAAATTGATTATAATAAAGACTGATTTATGATTCAGCAAATATGTATTATGTAATATTTTTCTTCTATTCTTTTTTCATAAAATCAAAATTAATTTTTAAAAATTTCAAAAATTATTTAAAAATTATAAATAAAATTTTGATATTTATTACAAGTTTTTTTTTTAAATATAGAAAAGAAGTATTTTTTAATTTTCTTTATTCTTTTACGATATATATTTTATGAATGTAACTAATTTGAAAATTAAGATTGACAACTAAAATTAAAAATCATAATAAAATATTAAACATTTTTAATTTAGATAATATTATACAATTATTTTAATAATAATAAATAATACTTGTTGATTTCAAAGACAATTAATTGTGCAATAATGAAGAAAAAATGAAGAAAAAATTATTTTTTAAAAAATTGAAAAGTTATGTAATATTTCTTTAATTATTAAGTTTTGACATTCAACTACGAATATAATAATGAAAGAAAAACTTTTTAAAATTAAAAAAGTTATATAAATAATTTTTCTTTAATTATTAAGTTTTGATAAGCTCAGAATCATGCTCATGTTCAGAATCCAATATTAATTTTATATATGTGTCATAAAATATTTTGTACTTTATTTTTTTATTTTTAAAGATTTAAATATAAAATATAATAGTTTTTATAAGATAATATATTTACAAAATTATAAATAATTTAATTTATTGCAAATTGCATAATCTATTTTAATCATTCTAATCTTTTTTTAATTTTATCATAAAAAATACGTATTTTCAAATAATAAAAAAAAAAATTTACAATTTTTAAAATAATTAATTATTTACTAAATAAAGAAATAAAATCCTAAAACATGCATTGTAAAATTAACATTTTAAAGTTATAATTTTTTATTTCACTTAAAGTGATTTATATTTATTCAATTGCAGAACTATATATTATATAAAAACAATGAATTGTTTTATAATTTGTTTTTTTATTGATTATTTTTTATTTTTTATTTTTATTTTATTGATAAAAAAATTTCTCTATATATTCTCCTTTTATTTCCACTACATATTTTGATATTTTCATATAGAATTATATGTATATTTTATATATATATATTTTAAAAAATTTTTGGATATATGATGTTTTAATTATATATATTCTAAAATAATTTGTTTTATATAGTTTTGTTATATATAGTTTTTTGTAATCAATAATTGCAAAAATTAATAATGTGGCAACATTATATACTACAATAATTCTTTGTTATAATATATAAACCAGAAAGACAGATAATTCATTATTTATTTGTAGCATATGTAATAATAATATACAATAATTCAAATAATAAACTTATATTTATTTTAATCCAAATAAAAAATATTATTTATAATTTTAAAAATATTAATTTTTTTGACTATGTTTATTAGAATTTTTTTTTTTATATAGAAAATAATATCTATCTGAACATCATGAATCTTTTCTTTATTATTCCTATATATTAATTTTTATTTAAATTATGAATATGATTTAATTGTGATAAATAAAAATCTATTTTAATATAAATTAAAAATTATTCTAAAATTTAAAAAATTTTCGAATAAAATAAATAATTATAAAAATAATAAATAATTAAAAAAATCAATCATTTAATTTTCAAAATATGAATTATTTTTTATTACATGAATTTGGATATATAATAATTTCTAGATAAATATTTTTTTTGATACAAGATTTTCATTATGCTATCATATATTTGAAAATTAAGATGAAAACAAAAAATTAATTTTTTTGATTTTTCCTTTATTCAGACTTCTTCAACTTCAATTCTAATTAAAAATATCTTAATAATTTAAGATATAATAAAATAATATTAAATAATTAATAATGATTTCATAAAAATTTAATAGAAGATATAAAAATATAAATTTCTATTAATGATTGATTCATCAAAATTGATAAAATAATTAGTTTGATTTATTACTATATATTTAAATAAAACCAGATGTTATTCATCCTTGATGTGATCTCTTATTCAATTATTCATTTATAATCATTCGTTTTATGAGATAATTAAAAAACAATAGTTTAATTATGTTTTGTTTAGATAAATATAGACAAATTATTTTGCAATCAGAGATATATTATAAGAAACTATTGTATATTTTATTTTATATGAAATGAAAAATACTTTATTATTCTATTTGAACATTTTTCCATATTTAAATAAAGACACATATATTATATATGAATTATTGAAAATATATTGATTTTTATAAACTAATAAAAAAATTATGAAAGTCAAGTGATATTTAAATAAATACTAATAAAGTAAAAAATTACCTTATCACATTTATCCTGTTTTTCAACTTTAGGAGTTTTTGAAGATAATAACGGCACAATAGGTACTGGTTTAGGATACGTAATTGGTGCTGCAAGTGCAGATGATAAAGGCGGTGCAACGGTACTTGGAACTGGCGAACATATCTCTTTGTCTTGTTTAATCGCTTTTGGTTTATCTCCTTTTTCTTTCTCCATTTTTTCATGTTTTGTTATTGAAAGCGTTGCTTCGGTAGAAGTGGGTACTGAAGGAAGTTTATCCCGATCGACAGATTTAGATTTTGGTAAAGTAGAGAAATCTTCAGATTTTGGTGGTAAATTTATAAAACGAGGTGGTAATGGTAAATTTGACATTGCTGGATGAGGGCCACTACCTCTTCCTATAGATAATGGAAATCTAGGAAACATAGGATGAGGTATTAAACCAGGTGCTGGAGGAAATGTTGGAAAAAAGGGAAATGGGAGTGTTGGTGGAAAACTTGGTTCTTTGGAAATCTGAGGTTCAGGTGCCTGTGGAGTTTTTGGTCGATCTAGTATATCCTGTTCTGGTACATCGTTGATACTTTTTGTCTGAAAAAACGGTAATCGCATATCGGCGATGTCTTTCGATGTCTTCTTCTAAGCAATTAATAGTGCTTACATACATGTACACGCAAGCGTGCACGTTAATATTATATAATGCTATATCTGAATAAAAATGAACCTACCTTTTTTGGACTAACATAATGCTTTGGACTTCTTGATTTTATTTCCCGTTTTTTATTCAATTTTTCCTTCCTCTTTTTTTTATGATCTGTAGGTGTCGTGGGCATGTTTAATTCTGGAGTTCTTGGAGTGCTAGGAGTACCTGGTGGTGACATATCATCAAACATATAAACATCTGATCCTGGACTTTGTAAATCAATTAATTCTCCTCCATCTGGTTGAAGATGGACATCTGGTGTATGTGGAGTCTTTTTTTCTTCTCGTTTTACATCAATATCATTACGGAGTGTTTGTTTGTCGATATTTTCATCAATCACTAAAGCAGGTGAACTTTCTCTTGAATCAAGTTCTTTATACTTATGTTCTGATATATCTTTATCTTTATCCTCTCGTGGTTTTGAAATCTTTTTAAAAATATTCAACTTTTGTTTATCTGGTTCAGATGGAAGTTTATCAATATTGTCTTCTCTTCTTTCATTAGATGGTGGAGATCTACCAGTAAGATCAATTATTTTTTCTGGTTTTGTTTTTGGTTGTGTAGTTTTCTGTAATTTTGGACTACCAACTGTTTTAGATGATATTAATTTAGGAGTAGATGGTCTGCTTGATGAACTAGGCATGGTACTTTGTAATTTTCCACCTATTGATTTTAAAGGCTTTAATTTTGCTAATTCCTTCATACCAGCTAATTTTTTAATTTTATTATCATCTGTTTTATCTGGTTTAAATAATTCTTTAGCACGATTCTTTTTCTTGTTTTCTTTATCAAGTTTACAATCTTCTAATCCTTTCTTTATAATCTTTTTCGGTTTTTTGTCGTATTTTAATTCTGGAGGTACCATAGGATAAGAACTAGGTTGTGGTGAATCTGAACGAGTTTGATGTGGTGTCCTTGCTTCAGGTAGTTTTCCTTCTCGAGCAGGTGATAGAAAACCTGAAGTAGTCATCATGACACTATGAATTTCACGTAACGGTCTACCCTCTTCTAATACTTTTACACGCTTTACTATAGGACTTTCAAGTGAGACAGGATCTCCTGGTCGTTTAAAAACTACTTGAGGTGATATTCTATGAGGAGATATATTCATGGAACTATTGCTTGATGTTCCATTACTCAATGTTAAGTCAGATGATCCATTCATTATATTTTCTGCTTTCTCTACTACATATTCCTCTATAAAATAATAATATGTTCTATTTTAATGTTAACATTTTTTGAATTCTTATATTTAACTGTTATAATATAAGTTTATATAAATTATATAAATTTTATTTTTTTGAGCAATTTAAAGCTAGAAATCAAATATTCTATATTTTAATTAGTTACTATATTAATAATAATATAATATAATAATAAAAATAAAGATTTATTTATGTTATTTTATGTTATATAAAGTATTTTTTTACATGGATAATTATCTTATATATTAGAATATATTTAATAAATAATTTTTTCAAAAATTCTCTAATAAAATAATATATTAAAATATAATTTTATTTTTATATTTTTATTATATGGTTATGTTTTTAAATAAAAAAGAAAGTTTATTTAATGTGTGCAATTTTTTATAGTATACATATATATCTACTGACAAAAATTAAGAAATAAATGATTTACTTTTTTTTTTTAATTTATATAATCATTAATATTTATTATTTGAATTTCTTTATATTAAATTATATTGAAATTTTTAATGAGATCAATAAATTAAAATTGAAGATTTGTATATATTAATAAACAATTTTTTTTAAAAAATATATTAACAAATATGTTACAGAATTGTAATGTACCACTTAATTTTTCATTTAAAATTAATCTATCTAATGTCATTTGCGAATAAATTGAATTTATTTTTATGACTTGATATACTTTTAGATTCAATAACATATAACAATAACAATAATAATTGAAATAATTTACTTTTTATCAAATTCAAACAAAACTCTTTGATTCTTTTTCGAAACAAGTACATAAATAAAATTATATATATCGCGACATTTTAAAAAATTATATATTTTCATTTTTTAATAAAAAAAAAAATAAACATTCTCATCATTTTAAATAATAATGTTTCAAATTTTTTTTTCAAATTAATTAAAATATTTCTTGTGAAAGAAAATAATTTAAAATATGATCAAGTCCATTCCAGATTTGAACGTATTTAAGATTATATATATATTATATATATATAGGACTTTCAAGTATATATATATATATATTATATATATTATATATATATTATTATATATTATATATATTATATATATTTATATATATATTATTATATATTATTATATATTATATATATATTATATAGCAATATTAATTAAGAAACTTTTTTTTAAATAAAGTAAAATTAATGTAAAAAGATATGAAAACATGATCAGAAACATAACTGAATTTTATATTTGATAGATTAAATTTAATTAAATATAGATATTATATATTAAATTTAATTATTATCCAATATTTTATTAGAATATCATGAAAATTATAGATATTCATAGATCATTGTTTTTGTTAAAAATAATTTATATAATTTAATTAAAATATATTTCTTAGCTTTTCTTGATTAAGTTATAGCTTTTATTTGTTTGTTTTAATTTAATATTATTTTTTATAAAAACATATTCTAAAAAGAATTTATTATTATATTTAAGTATTTAATTATTATATTTAAGTATTATAATTATAAAGAATTTATTGATATATATATTATATCTCTATATATATTCAACTTCACTTACTGATCTCAAAAGATAAAAAATATAAATTCATTTCAATTCAATAAATTTGTTTCTTAACTTTTATTAATTTTATTAGCAAATGTTTATATAATTATATAAATAAAATATCAAATAAAAAATGAAAGTATTATAAATTAATTTTTTTAGAATCAAATGATCAATATCATTTTTATATTAATTTTTTTATTATTGAAATAGTTTTTATCAAATTGAATAGTATTTATTTGAATCATTTTCTTTTTATTATAATCAAAATTATACCGAAAAATTTGTTCTGAATAGAAACATCGAAAAGAGGAAAAAAAAAAAAAAAAAATGACAAAATAAAAAATATCAGAATAAATGATTTTCTGTTGTAACTCTATAATTATAAGTGATAAAAAAAATTTAAATAAATAAATATCATTCATAAATATCATTTGATAAAAGCTACCTCAATAACAAAAAAAATATGCATATGCAGATGCAGATGCGGACATATAAAAATATAAGAAATATAAAAAAAAAATCTCTGTAACAATAACAATCTCTTTTTATAAATATTTAGAAAAAATTAAGCAGCTATTATACATAGGAAAAAATTGATTAAAATTTTATTTTCTACATATCTAAAAATCATCAAAATCTATAAGAAAAACTTTTTTTTAAATAATTTTTTAAATAATTATCATTATATTTTATGTTATTAAAAAATTCAACAAAAAATAATATGTTTTTATTTAATGCATATATAATATATATTAAATACATAAACATATAATACATATATAATATATATATGCATTATATATATATGCATATATAATATATTATATGCATATATATATATTTAATGCAATAATTTTACATTACCAAAATATCTCATTGCAAAAAGGTCAATAAAGAAATGATAGTACAAAAGTTTTTTATAATAGAATTAATATTTTCAAATTAATATCATAATTATATTAATTTAAATAAAAATTTAAAAGAAATAGTATTAAAAATATTTTTTTTTATCTTTCAAGAATTCAAAAAATAAATATAAAAAATAAATTGTTATAAACTAATAAAAATAAATTAATAAAAATGAAAAAATTGAATATAAATTTTATAAAAACTTATGCAGTTATGCAAAAGTTTCATTAATATAATGAAATAAATTAATTATTTTAAAAATTTTGCAATTAGTATTTAAGAATGTTAGTAATTATATCGATAATCTCATAAACAATATTTTATAATATTTGAATAAAGAAGCTGGAATAAAACTTTATAATTTATAATATTAACTAAATATTTTTAAATTTTAAATTTATTATGTATTTTATTGTTATGTATAGTATATTTTTTAGTATATTTTTCTGCAAAAATTAATTGACATTTTTGTTAAATATAGTTATATAAATAATATCAAATATAAATTTCAATTATTTATTAAATAATTTATAAAAAAAAATGATCTACTAGAAAAATATATTATAAATAAAACTTAAATATATTTACTATATAATTGTTTTTTATTATCTATTATATATCTTTTCTTTTTTTATTAAATATTTTTTTAATTTTGTTATTAATTTGAAATCAATAGTACAGTACTAAAATATATAATCATTTTATTTAATTTGGTAGACTTTTAATAAAAAAATTTTCTGTAATGAAATTTTAACATGTTATCTTTTTAAATCCTAAAAGTATATGAAATATATTAATGATTTCAAATATTTAATCAATAGTTTATAATGATAGTGATATAATTTTCATTATGTATACATTTATTTTTATTTTTGATATTTTTTGAAATATATTAAATAATTATATTAACTTAAAATATAAAAATATATAATACAATCGTTTTCATTAATATTTGAATATTGCAATGTATAAGAAATTATTTATTTCTATGTGTATTTGTGTGTATAACATAACTTGCATTTTATAATGTGATTGTTTTTTAATATAAAAATATTCATATATCATTATCTAATATATTAATATAAATTTGAAATATTATATTATAAAATATATATTATAAAATATTATATTGTATATTATTGAATAATTTTAATCATATGAGTAATTTAAATAATAATTTCAATAAAAAATAATTTGTATTAGATCTCCAATATTAGTAAAAAAATTAACAATGAATTTTCTTTTTATTAATCATTTATTATAATTATAAAGTTTTATTCTTTTTATTTTAAAATGTTAATGTTTAATTTTTATAATATAGTATTTATAATATATTTTACCTTCTGTATCAGGAAACATGGCTGGTAAATGTTCATGTATATGTACAGGTCTTGTTACAACTTCTCGACTTCCAGGTTTTAAAAAATTCAAATGATTTTCACGTTGAATTGGAAATTTAGGTACTGCTATAGGACATGGAACAGAATCTACATTTTTAATATATTCTGTTAATTCTTGTATATCAATATTCATATTTTGAAATGCTAAACCTAAGTCATCAAGATTTGCTTCTGTTCTTCCCACTGAAAAAATATTTAATGTTATATTTTAAAATAAAATAAAAACTTTAAATATAATAAACTTTATCTTATAAAAAAATCTTATTTGAAAGAATAATTAGAAGCTGATAATATTATTATCAAAAATTATAAATAAAATATATCAAATATATCAATACAATATTATCAATATCATATATTAATATATAAAAAATCAATTTTATGGAAAAATTATGACTTATACTTCTATCATAATTATTAGCCGATTAAAAAAGGCTTGGATAAAAGAAAGTTTATTATATAATTCAAATAAAATTAATATAATTTGTATAACTTCATAATGAATTATATAAATAATAATGAATTATATATTATATCAATAAAACTAATAGTATTTGAATTTTCAATAAAATCTTTATATCATTTCAAAAATGCTTACAAATTTCTGCATATTGATGAGTGAGTTTTGAAATTCGCAAAATATATTCTTGCATAAGATCAACCATAAATTCTAACGGTGTAGAATTAATTGAATGCCATCCAATTATTTGACATATTTGAGCAACCACCATTCTTAAAACACTCCTACTGTATTCTGTTGACATCTTCAACTATAAACAATAAAAAATTTACTTTCCCGAACATAAAGCTTTGAAAGTTTTTTTTTTACTAATTAATAGAACTTAACAAATAGAGTCCAAATTAATGTTAGGAATATATGAAATTGAAAGTTATATATATGTTTAAAAATGCTTTATTTTACGGATTACATTGGCCGCCATATTGGCTTCTCTTACTGTCCATGTTTGTAGAAATGATAGATACTATGATGCTTATATTGTTATTATTGTAATTAATCATTATAATTTTGGTTGTTCAAGAATTGTTTCATATTTTACCATTCATGGTTATCACGGATCCTTTGGATTCGCAGAATGACCAAGCTTTCCATGAATATATATTAAGTACATCCCGCCAAAACATTATCGCGAACATCGGTTCACTGACATCACCAGTTATCGACAATATGCATGTGGCGCCATTATAGGGAGAAAATGAGAATGGATTCTTTTCATTGGCTGGGCAGTGAGAAAAGCTAATATGGCCGTCAATATAACCCGTAAAATAAAGCATTTTTAAACACGCATAACTTTCGATTTCTTGTATTTCTAAATTAAAATTATAATTTTTGAAATCTATTCGTCAAATCTTATCAGTTTGTGAAAAAACATTAAAATTTTTATATCCGGAAAATTAAAACTTTATCCTTAAAAATAACAATTTAATAAATTATTTTCATTATCTATGTAAGTATTATTTAATATAAAATTTTGTTTTAACTTACCAACATAAAAGAAATTGTACAAGTTCTTTAATTCTTCTGTTTATTAATTTAAAATATTACATACATACATTTCTACTACGTTATTTTCATTCAGCACTTCGATATTAAGTCACAGGTTAAGTTGTGTCATTCATTTCGAAAATAATGCACATTTCATTTATGAAATATAACAAAGTAACACATTTGATACAAAACGAAATACGTTCCCACTGTCTTCATATTTTCTTTTAAACATATTTTTACTTCGTAACCATTGATGCATATTATACACCGTACACTATAATGGCGGATAATTTCTTCAGTCATAGAAGTAAAAAAGATAGCGTCATCTTAGCTCTATTTAAATTATTTACATTAAAATATATAATCTAACCAGATATAAGATTTACAAATATTTTATTTCTTTTATTATCAATGTTCTATTTATTATTTATATTTATATCGATTTTATTGCATGAATATAATTTAGTACTATGTAACTATAAATAAATTTCGTAGTAAATTTTACAAAAAAAAATACAATTTTTGCAAAAAAATTATTTTTCTCTTTATAGAGAAATATAAAAATATTATATCTCATATTTATATATTTTTTATACAATTAATAGAATAATATTAATAATCTGAATATTTTGATATTTGATATTTATAAAATCCACAAACTAATAAATAGACAGATAACTCTGATATGTACAAATATGCTAGTAATACTATAGTGAATATAGCATATTTTTGTTTGTATATAATGGCGGGATTTTTGAATTTTCATATTTTTTATAAATTAAATAAAATTTATATTTATAAATATAATTTTAGATTATCTGATAAATTCTGCTTTTAATGCTAATAATGATATTATTTATATCAATATTTTAATCATTATCATCAATGCTTCACTTAATTTTTTTAATAAATATTAATATTTTAACTTTTTGCAATATTTTTGCATTAATTAAAAATATAAATTTTTTTTAAAAAACTTTAATGAATAAAAAGAAGAATTTTTCTAGAATTCTTTTTTCTTCTTTTTATCAGTTTATTCTCAAAAATAATTTTTTTATCATTGCTAAATTTTTTTTTCATCTTATTGTTATCAAATGTTTTATTAATAGTTTTTTTTATTTTATATGAAAACATATTCATACAATATAAAAATTCATATATATAAAATATATAATAAAGTATAAATATACATATAAAAATATAACGTGCGTGCATGTTTCGAGTTTTTGAAATGATTTAATATTTTAAATTTTTAATACTAAATTTTTAATATATAATTATATTTAATTTTTAATATAATTATCTATATTCGTTATTATAATTAATATAAATAAAAAAAATTGAAAAATAAAAATAATCTAATTTAGTAACTTTTTTCAATTTTGATAATGTTATTCTAAAATAATGTTTTTTTGTTGTTTTTTAAAAGATTTATTTTATCACTTATTTTATTATTAAAACAGAATTTCAATTGGAAGAAAAAATTGAAAAAATATATTTTTAATTTTAAAAAACAATACGAAAATTGAAACTTAAAAAATCTAAATTGAAAATTATAAAATATAAATTAAAGATTATTTAATATTGATGTTAGCGAAGTATTTCAAAATAAATAATATTAGAATTTTTAAATGTTGTAATAATTAAACCAAATGTAATTTAATGATATTTAAAATTAGTAAAAACGTATTCTACTTATTTGAAAAAATAAGAAAGTATTTTAGTTATTTTTATGCTTCAATGAACATTTTCAATTTTTGGATTTAACAGATATGTTGATAGTTTTGCTATAAAAAATATGCTATATATATATATATATATACATATTTGAATATGTACTTGCGAATATATGAAGTGTGATATCACGGACAAATCAAGTATATAGAATTTTTTTTTTTATTTTGTAAAATCTATTTTTTTAAATTTAAAATCTTATTTTAGTAATGATAAAATATAAAATAAAATAAAAGATGTTCTAGAAATTCTTTTATATAATATATAATATAAAATATATATATAAGCATGATATTAGATAAAAATAAAAATAAAAAAACCATATAAATTCCTAATAAAATAGTTTTTAAATTCTTACATTAAAAATAGTAGAAATTGTTATAATTAGTTTTTATAATTCTAGGATTGCCAGAGAAGACTCTATTAGTTGATATAGATTTATAAAATATAGATTTTTAAAGTCTTACATGATTCTAATTTAGAAATAGAAAAAGCTAACTAGAAAGAAATACAATACGATTGCTATGCCGCCTATCAAGATGTATGTATTAATAATGTTGATTATGAATATGAATTTTATGAATTCTTTTACTAGTATTCTTATAAAGTGAAAATTCATTGATTTTTTATATTTTATTTTAAAAGATTTAAATTTTTAATAAAATCTCAAATAAGATAAATATTTAATACTTTCATATCAATATAATTTTAAAATTTATTATTTCTTGAAAAATATAAATTTATAAAATATAAATATAATTTATTTTATTATAAACATGCTAAATATATTTATTAATCTTTTATTTTAATAATTATTATTTTGGAATGAACTTTTTTTGGAATGTATTGATATAATATTATAAATAAACTAATAATGAATATTTTGGATAGTAGATTTGGTTTGGTTTTGATAATAGAATGACTATTTTTGGTCCAAGTTCAATCATTGAAATTATTGATTTAAGATATGCATTAAATATTTCTACATTATTTTTTAATTAAAAAAATTAATTTATTTTTTAATTAATTAAAAAAATAATTTTAAAAATAATAATAAAATACTTTTTAAATTATGAAATAAACTAAAAAACTAATAATGAATTGAGTAGGAATATTGATATAGAAGTTCTGTGATGAGTAGGAATATTAATATGGAAGTTCTGTGATGAGTAGGAATATTGATATGGAAGTATTTTCTCTTTCTTTAAAAAAATCATATTACAAACACATTTTGAAATATTTTCTACATTTTGAATTTACATGATTGTAGAAATGAAAACTTCCTATATAAAACAAAATATAAAATTATATTGTGGTATAGTGAATAGTATTTCCATAATAATATAATGTTTTTTTTTTATAAGAGATTATATGATAAATATAAAGAAGAAAAAGAAATTTCAAAATGTAAAAAAAATTGTAATAAGATTTATAATTGAATTAACTAAGTATAGCAATTTTAATTTTTAAATTATTTTATTAAAATGAATCAATTGTTTAATTTCAAAATAATATTTCTTTAAAAAAAATAAAAATTTCTATAAAAATAAAAAATGTCATAAAAACTTAATTTTAAGCCCAACAATAATATTATAAAATAAATTAATCAATAAGAGCATAGATATGTTCAATATAAAAAATTTATTTAAATATGTCGATGAAAAAATATATAAATATAGATATATATTAGATTTCATTATTTTTCATGATGAAAATTAATAATTTTTCTGCAAATAATAAATTTAAATTTTAATATTTATAGATATAATATATGGAATATACAAAATAATAGATAAATATAATTTCAATAGATAAATATAATTTGTTTCAAAAAAATATTATAAGCATTTATATCAATAACGCTAGAAAGATAGAATTTATTTAGTTTCTTATTTATTGAAAAAATTGTTTTTCTATGCATTTATTATTCCATACATTTATATTATGTATGTATTGTTATTTTATATTATATTATTATATAATATTATATTATATTCAATATTATATATTATTATAAATTANGTAAATATTTGTCTATATATATTAAAAATTTCTTGTACTATTTATATTCCTATTTTTTAAGGTTATTCCTAAAAAAATATAAAAAACAAAATATTTTAAGATAATTATGATTATCATTATGTTGCACTTTAAAAAATTTTTTTGATCCAGCTATTATAATGATTATTAGAATGTATCAAAAAAATGTTAAATCAGTTATAAATTTATTATCGATTCAACGAGTCATTAACGAGCTAAAAACAGATATACATAAGCAAGACTATTTTCATAGTAGAGATGTGATGGAAAATTTTTCATTTTTTTTTTATAGATATTAAGAACGAAAAATAAACAAAGGAAGATAAAAAAAAGAATGAACATAAATCAAAAAAAAAGTGTGAATCGAAAAAAAAAATGAAAAATTGAATTTATTCATATCTAATTATTAAATGTACAACTTCGACAATTATTACGAACGAGTTTTGAAAAAGAATTCAAAGAAACAATATCTTAGAAGAATCTGAAAAAAAGAAAGTTAAATGATAAATTCCATTTTCTATTTTTGACAAAAACAATTGCAATTGGTATAGCATATTAATTTACGTTAATTTATTTATATAAATATAAGTTATAATTTACAATTACACATTTACAATTACACATTTATAATTAAATATAAAAATACAATGCAATAATATTTATTTTATGAATTTGACTTTAGTAATATCAGCCAATATCACTTATAACTACTCTTTCATATACAAATAAGTGTTTTTTTTTACAACTGATGATTCAATTTGTTAATTACGCATTAGACGTATATTTATAGTTACCCCAATTCGAAAAAAAAATATAAATTCGAAAAAAAAATAAACATATAAAAATAAATAAGATTTAACATATTTGAAAATTTTAATTGTTTATATATAAAAACTTATTTACAATTTTTAAATCATATTAATTTTATATTTCAAAATTTTATGAGAAAAATATTTTTTAATATCATTACAATTTTTAAATTCAATGTTCTATTGTTAGAAACTATAGAAATCAATTTTACTAAATCAATTATTATTTTAGATAAATTTAAATTAAAATTTAATAGGATAATAGTTATAAATAAATAAAAAAAATTGATATTTATAATACTATCTTTTTTTTTTTAATTCAAGAAAAAGAATAATTCTCTGTATATAATATCTGAGTTTTAAAATCAAATAAATAAAATATAAAATATTAGCGAGAAATATTTATTTTGAAATAATGCAAAGATAATCGAATTTTATTTATTATTCAAATGCAAATGTAAAAAGATTTGTTCAATTATCAATAACATAATTACCAAAAAACAAATATAAGATCCGAAATGATTATTATAATATAGAGGATAAAATTAAGTTTAAAAAATAAAAATCAAAATATATTACATAACATATTAAATAAAATATTACATAATATTAAATTTTAGATGAAATATTATATTATTTAATTTCACTATGTACAAAAAAAATAGTTATTTCAGAAGATTTGATTGTCAGATAAAACTGATAAAAATATAATATCCGACAATGAGT